CTTTCTGCAAATGTGTAATATTGAATAGCAAGCAGAAACAGGCATATATGTCAGTCCCCAAGTCAGTGAACTACCTATTCAGCAAAGAACATGTGCATGCCATTGGTATTTGATTGGTCATCCACCTACAAATAGTGTGTAAAATTAGGTAATTCAATATTTGTGAGAAAAAGAGTTTTCTCTTCTTATGTTCTTATTTTTCTCTTTTCCTTTTTTCCTCTTATCAAAATGTATTTTTTTAACACCGTATAGATGAATTTTCAAGGTATAGTTTTGGATTTTATCTTGTAGGTTATGTGAAAGCCCTGATGAGAGTTGTCGTAGAACTGGTGGAAAACAGGGAGCAGATCAGAGACAACATGGAGGAGCTACAGCCTCAACCAGCACGGAGTGCCTCTCATCATCACCCCGACAATGGAGAAGCCGTGCAAGCTTTTGAACAACATCATCGCTTTGGCGATAGAAACTAGTTCTTTTGGTGATAGAAACTATGATGAATGTGTCAGCTACCTGAACATTAACCACTGATTGTTTTATTTCAGTACAAGACATGTTTTTCATAGACCCTAAATTATGTTTATGCCAGTATAATTATGGAGAGTAACATGGAAGTACTCTATGCAAGTGAGTAGTGGATTCCGATTCTATGTGAGTGTAAAGCACTAGAAACTTGTCTGTAAGCTTGTACATACTTACACAAGCCAAAGTCCATGGTACACATCAATAGTCATTGGTTTTAATAGGTAAAATACTTATTAAATTTGTAAAACTTACATTTTTAGTTCAATTAAAAACAATTTCTGAATGCACTAGATTTTCATAAACACTAAGTAAATCACTGTTGATCATGAATTTGGCACCAAATATAATCTGATTTTTCTCACAGTCCTTCATCTTGGCCAATGCTTTTTGCTTCTTATTTGCAAAAAATAAAAAATTAAAAAATGCATTTTTTTTTTCCATCTAAACTGTTCTTATTCAAGAACCATTTGATGTATTGCACCAGATATGACTTTATTTTTTGTTTTTGATTTTTTCCCTTTTCTGCCGAGGTGAATTGTGTTATTCATTTTCAAAGTTAGTAGTTTTAAAGATCATGCCATATTATCACAGAAGAGGAAACATTGTGATGATACTTCATCGCATCCATACTTTTTTTCCTAACAGCGGTTTCCTGTTTGTCCTAAAACCTGGTTATAAAAGATTGAAAAATAATCATCCTTGCAGATATAATAAAAATAGTCATCTATCCTGTAAACTTTACATAAAATAAGGATGAATGTAATGTACATGTTGCATCAAAGTTTTTGTTCCAATGGTGCATCATTTTGAAATATATTGCACAAACAGAGAAGAAAATGATTGGAGGGAAAAACCGTCAATGGGATGTTCTGAGAATATTTTGAGCAAAGGTAAACAAAAATTCATCTAAAGGAACACAAATCTTGTTTGTTTATTTCTATTATAGGTGTCTTGTAGGAAGCTTCATAATTTAAAGATGGAAATTGCTGTGAAAATGAGAGTGAGATAGAGAATGTGAAGGAAGAAGAGGGATAAAGATAGATACCAATAGGGATAGAGTGAGAGATGTGAATGTGATGGATGGAAGAGGAGAAAGAGAGATTGTGAAAGAGTGAGAGATGGGAATGTGATGGATGGAAGAGGAGAAAGAGAGATTGTGAAAGAGTGAGAGATGGGAATGTGGAGGGTGGAGGAGGAAAAGAGAGGCAGAGGGAGAGAGTGAGAGATGGGAATGTGGAGGAAGAGGAGAAGGAGGGACAGAGTGAGAGATAGGAATGTGGAGGGTGGAAGAGGAGAAGGAGGGACAGAGTGAGAGATGGGAATGTGGAGGAGGAGAAAGAGAGGAGGGACAGAGTGAGAGATGGAAATATGGAAGAGGAAACAGAGAGAGGAAGTGGGATAGAGAGATGGGAATGTGGAGGGTGGAAGAGGAGAAAGAGAGAGGAAGAGGGACAGAGTGGGAGATAGGGTTAAGGTTTATCCTTTTTGGGAGGATAGATTTGATGCAAAATAAAGGATTTCCTGGATTTATTACGATGCTTACCATTTATCACACATTTGAAATTTCGTCAACCGCAATTCCCTTCTCTTACTCTCATTATTCCTCTGTCTATCTTTGTTGTGTCCATGCTGTTATTTCTCGTTCTCTCAATTTCGTTTTCTCTTTCAATTTCATTTTCTCTTTCTCTCCCCTTTTCTGACTCGGCAGGTTGACTGTATATCAAATGCTCAAATTATTAAAACAAATTACATTGCAGGGTGTATAACAAAAGAGAAGGAACAAGGCATGTTGTGTTTTTTTTGTTTTTTTTTGTTGTTGCTTGTTTATATAGATTTCAACATTCTTCCTCATAAGAAATCGTTGCTTGATCACAGTTTTGCAAAAGTTCGAATATCAGCTCTTGGAAATTAGAATCAAATGTCGAGATCAAAGTTCATAGCAACCATACCATCATGAGAAGTTCAAACAATAGTATTTGTGATGAATATGAAGATGAAAGCCGATGATCACAAATAACGTACAGAAGATGGCTGACAATCACATAGAAGATGACAGTCATTCAAAGTTCGCAAGACAATAGTTGATGTTACATCCTCATCTCAACCGACGCAGAATGGTCCCTTTGTACTGACCACGTCCATCAGGATACGCTTCCATTATTGAGGCATGGACACATGCTGGCAGTTGCACCCTGATGTCCTTCCCGAGCCAGCCCCAACACCATCTCACGACTTTCCTGTAGGCCACATACCTGTATTTTCTGTAAAATAAAAAGCAATAAAAAAAATTTCATTATTTTTCTTAGGATAGATGATTTGATGTCAAAATATTAATTCTTTATTAATTAATTCAGGAAAATAAAAATGATTAAAAAAAACTAAAATGACCAAGGGTTAGTCATTGTTTGTCGGGCGGTGGGGGGCAACATTCAAAATCGCATATAAAGTTTGTGTTTCATAACTACAGATTATTGGGGGGGGGGGGGGGGGGGGGTAACATGCTAAAACTCACAAACCGGTGGTCATTCTTGCCTATTTGTATACATTTCCTGAAAAAGTGCCCCGAAGCACCTGCAGATAAGGCAGCTAGTACACCAGTGGTCACCAGGCAAGAATTTTGGTCAAAACTAGTAATTCATCTTGCAGTGACTCAATTCGTTTTGAAAAGTTTCACCCAATAAACTTTCAAAATCAATCCATTTATTTTTTTGCCCTTGCCAAAATGATGAAAAGGAGAAACATAACTTACTCATTGTTCCTGTCCCCAAATGCTTTGGCTGCTCGGCGCCACCTATCTGTGTACTCCATCCATCCGATGTACAATGTTGTCGCATTTAGGATGGCCGGCTCAAACTCCTCAGAATCCACCAGACAACTTGAACCCTGTCGATCAGCCTCTGCCTTGACCTCTGCAATTTCCTGACAACAGACACAATCACCTTCATTGAAAGATGGAGGCACACGACATCTTCCACATGTACACCTTGAAATACAGAAAGATTCAAACAAAAATCAATACACCTACTATAATTTTATAAATATTTTATTACAGCTTCCTGATAAATATAAAAATGACATCGTTCTCGTAGTCGTAGTATGGTAAGAGTGCCCAAGGCAGTGCCTATGTCTGCGCACCCACGTAAATGCGCGATATTTATAGAACAAAACATCAAACTGACACCAATTTTCAATCTTAACCTCAACAATTCATTTAGATTTTAGATACCAAAATTTGTGAAAATAATTGGGAAGATTAAAAATGAGTTTTAGCAAGTTTCATTTGCCACCCTGAAAATTTCAATCATTGTCAAAAAAGAAAAGTCTGAACAGGGGGTTGTCCCTGACCAGTATGAAACTTCACTGTGCTTGATTGAATTGCGTGCAAAATAGTGAGTGCGCAGACATGGGCACTTTTCAGTTTTGCTACACAAAATGACGAGCCCGTCTGAAATTCGTTAAAAAAAATTGTTCTTGTGAATAATTTGTCGAGTTTTTTTGTTTCAGTAATCATTAGAATATGAAGAACGGAATAACAATGATGATTCTAAAAATAATATCTTACTGTGTAATGAAATCGAGGTCGAATTTTAGGTGCGCAGACCTAGATCTAGAGAATCATTTTAACAAGTTAACTTTAGAATTAGACATGCCATTTATGACCGAGTCTAGAGATCTACGGTATTTGATTTCAATTTTGGGGGGGGGGAATAAATATTTAGAATGCACAAGAAATTCAATAAGCTTATAAGTCTTAATTACCAATCCTCGACATTTTCATGAAGCCGATTTGCGTTGTTGGCCCTTCCAGCATCGCCAACATTTTGCCCAGGTTCACCACGAGGTAAAGGCTCATACTCCCACTCGACGATACGCCCGTGTTCTCCGGCGTCTGCATCACTTGCATCGCTGTCGGTATCACTGCTGCTGCCAGTACTGTCCGGACTGTCACTACTACCACTGGCACTGTCATTTTCACCGCTTTCCCCGCAACTGCCATCCTCCTCACACTCAAATTCCATAACTAAATCATCTTGTGCATCTGCCCTGACGACTGGGGTAGCCATTCTCTTTAGAAAGACTTCTCAAAACTTCTCAAACTTCAATCGATAAAAAGCAGAAAGGATTCACGGTACGCAAAATCAATGTAGATCTCGAACATCGCGCGGCGAAGAATTATAGCAAACAATTCGAGTCTACACGAAATGACGTCACCCAAGTCCGTGCGGCGCGGGGGCTCTTGACCGAGGCGAATTTGGGAGGGGGCGGCAGTTGTACTGTAATTTTCATTTTTCTCAGTAATGAAAGGGTATTTAATTTTTTCTTTCTTGTATTTGTATTTTGTGTTTCATTAGCCGTCTGTGGATGTATGGTTGTTTACGCTCCGGTCAAGGTCTTTAATTTTTCTACGAACTTTTCTATTCATACAAGTTTTTGCCTCGCGCCATGGGCCAGCGGAGATGGCGCTAGCTAGCTCTAGCTCTCCAAATAATAACATTAAAAATGGCAGCGCCCATGAAAAGACCATGTGAGGAATCGGGGACAGGTATTTCACCTTCTGGAGAAGAATGTCTTTTAAAGAAACAAAGCACGGACTGTCAGATGTTCTTATCATGGTGTGAACAGGAAGGGATCATTCAGAATTCTAAGGTTTGTTGGCATTATCGTGAAAATATGAAACCATTCGCTCTGCACAGCTTAGTTAGCTTAGCGCTCCAGCGTCCATGGCATGGACTATCATACAAATAACGCACGTCCCAGCGTGCAATAGCCGTGAATGCAGTACACGCGACGTTTTTTTAGATTGGTGCCGCTCTTTGAATGAGCCGCTTGCGGCGAGTTCAAAGAGCGCACCATCTGAACATGCTGAAGAAACCGAGCGTAGTCTAGAGTCTACACTGCATTTACGTTTCGCACAACAGGGCCAGGTCATGTCAAGTGCGTTATTTGTTTTATAAAATAGCGACACAAATGCAACAACAATGAACAATCAAAAGTTTAGTTAGAGTCTACGAGAGTTCGATCTAGATCTAGAGTTATGTTATGCAGGCTTACCCAAAAGTCCACGTGATTCATTGCCTTGTTTAAAAATAAAATCTATAGACTCTAGAGGGTCTAGAGACGAGTCTACATCAGACAGCTGAAATTCCTGGCTTCATTATAAAATCCCAAAGTCAAAACAGGCCTAAATCCAAGGCAAAAGTAAAATAAAAATTTGCTTTCTAATAATACCCCGCTCTAGCTAGTTAGCTAGAGCTAAGCTACGCGTACGCTGCGCTGGGGATCATGGTGGAGCGTACATTATTAGCTACGCATAGCCTACAACGCACTCGAGGGAGCGTACTCACTGTGAATATAATGGACAAAGAAAGCGGACAAAATATACAGTTCCTCAGGTAGACAAAGGAACATCCCTTCACTGCTATTATGTAAAAAGTGAATATGCATGTGACACCTGTTCTACACATTTTTACATAATAGCAGTGAAGGGATGTTCCTTTGTCTAGTTTCAAGTTTCAAGTTTCAAGTTTCAAGTTTATTTGTCTTCCAGAAAACACATGTGACAAAATATAATAGAGTATAATCATAACAGTACAATGTAGAACAAAGGAAGACGAGGAGACCTTGGTTGAAGCACAGCTTGTTAAGTTAAGGCCCCCTCATATGATGTGACAAAGATAACTTATTTATGAATACAACAACAAATATGGAATATATAAAACTATTTACAAAATACTCTCAGAGAACAACTACCCAACGTTGCATCTAATATGATCTAATATGGACAAACCCAAGCCGACACCAAGTCGAGACATCAATGAGTTATTGCTCTCTGAGTGCAGAGGTCAAGTAGGAATATATGGTATATGTAGTATGTACAGATGAGAAAGAAGAAGAAAAAAGAAAAGGGATAAAGGGGGTTATATGTCAAAGTCAAGAATTAACGAAAAAAAGATCAAGAGTAGAGTTAAATATGCTACAGTACACTAACAATAAAGCTTGATAACACATTCATGTGTCATCGACATACTTGTCAAGAAAATATGACTTAAGTCTACGTTTAAAAACTGAGATACTTGAAGCATTTGTTATGGTAGTATCAAGTGAATTCCAGAACCTGGGGCCAGTGGACATTAGTGTATTCAAAGTGAAGGTTGTCCTTGCATATGGTAAATGGAGAGCAGAAGCCTGTCTAGTATTATAGCTGTGAATTTGGTTATTTCTTCTAAAGATTTGAGCAAGGGCAGGAGGGAGGTCTCCAGAGTGAATGCTAAACATGAGCATTCCAAGTTGCATTGAATAGAGATCTTCTAGTTTTAGAATACTGTTTTCATAATAAAGTAGATTTGTATGTGCACGATAATTTGCTTTACAAATTATTCTAATAACCCGCTTCTGCACAACAAAAAGCCTGTGGATTTGAGTTTTGGATGATTTGCCCCATGCCAACATACCATAATTGATATATGATAAAATAAGAGTAGAGTACAAAATGAACAATACCTCTTGAGGTATACATGATCTCAACTTATAAATAACACCAGTATTTTTTGACACCACTTTACTTAATTTGTCCACATGAGTTTTCCAATTCAGTTTCTCGTCTATGTATATTCCAAGAAATTTCGTTGAAGTTACTCTCTCAATTGGGTTATTATTGAATGCCACTTCCCCTGGCAAAATATTAACTGAATTACTGAACAGTATATAATTAGTTTTCTGAAGATTCAAGGATAACTTATTAGCATTAATCCACTTCATTACTTTTCGAAACTCTTCATTAACAGTTTTCAACAATGTTTGTGGACATCTATGAGAAAAAAATACACTTGAGTCATCAGCAAAAAATATGAATGATAATACACTTGATGAGCGTTGAAAATCATTAATATACAAAATGAATAAAAGTGGTCCCAAAATGGATCCCTGGGGAACACCACATGTTACTTTTTGGGGACTAGAGTCAATTCCATTTAAGGACACATATTGCTTTCTATCAGTTAGATAACTTCTAAACCAATCCAAGGCGACTCCCCTGACACCATAATGACATAATTTACTTAAGAGAATTTCATGGTCTACAGTATCAAAGGCCTTGGAAAAGTCTAAAAATGTACCAATGGTGTGTAAGCGACTATCTAAGGCAGAAGCAAGTTTATCTATAAGGTGTAAGATTGCATGTGTTGTTGTATGCTTCTCCCGAAAACCAAACTGATAATTACTGAAGACACATGTTTTGTTTAAAAATGTTATAGTTCTTACATAAATAATTTTTTCCAGAATTTTTGAAAAACAGGTTAACAAAGAAATCGGACGATAATTTGTCAGTAATTGAGAGTCACCTTTTTTAAAAATTGGTACAACTTTTGCGATCTTCATGTTTATCGGTACAACTCCGCTTGACATAGACAAATTAAAAATATGAACTAGTGGTTGAAGGATACCGACAATAACTTGCTTAATAAGTTCGTTCCCAATATGATCATACCCAGGACTTTTCTTATTCTTGAGGGCTCTAACAATACCAAGCAATTCTTCTTCATTTGTGGGCACCAGAAATAAACTTTGCATGTTAGGTTCTACTAAGTAATCATGAAAATCAGTTTGACTGTTAGGAATATTTTTTTTTCAGATTCGGACCAATATTACAAAAATATTCATTAAACTTTTCCACTATAATATTTTTATCTTCAACCATTTGGTCATCTATATTCATTTGTATTATACTTGTTACTTTAGATGCTTTTTGAAATACATTTCTTATCACCTTCCACGTGCCCTTGATATTATTGTAAGTTGCTTTAAACTGTGCTAAATAGTATTGTTTTTTGGCTGCACGCAGCACAGAAGTCAGAGTATTTCTGTAAACGGAATATTTCCTTTTTAGAGCTACCGTCCCTGCTTTCTTATACTTATAAAACAGCTCATTTTTCTTATTTATTGATTTCAGCATAGCATTGGTGACCCACGGCATACGTGGAGTTCTTCTACGGTTGTTTTTACTCTTTACTACTGGAATATTAGCATCATACAACAATAAAAACCTATTCATGAAAATATCGAAGGCACTCTCATCACACTGATTCAAAAGAACATCACTCCAGTTTGTCGCCAATAACGCCTCTCTAAACTGATTAATATTTTCTGGGGTGTTTCTTCTAACATAAATGTTCTTATGGGTGACTACACGTTTTTTTCCCAAAGGAATTACAGTATACACAGGAAAATGGTCAGACAAGTCCGACACAACAATAGTAGATAAGGGAAAAGGTTGTAAGTTACTAAAGATATTGTCAATTAGAGTAGCAGAGGATTCAGTTACTCTTGTTGGTTTTGTTATCAAGGGCAACAAAGAAAACGACAACATCAAATTCAGGAAATCATCAACATGAGCATCAACATTGTGCTGTAAAAGGTTTATATTATAATCTCCAACCAAAAATAAGGATTTACCGTTAAGTGACTGGCTTTCCAAAACTCTCTGCATTTCGTCCAAAAAAATGTTCAAAATACCATTGGGAGGTCTGTACACGACTCCAATTACGATATTATTTTTACCAGAAATAAAGACTTCAACAAATAAAGCTTCTAGATTTTCAGTCATAACATTAAGCTCGTGACATACTCGATAATCGAGCCCAGACGGAACATAAAGGGCAACACCACCACCACGTCTGTCTACTCTACTATTGCTTAACAAGTTATAACCTGGAATAACAAACAAATTTGCATCATTTTCATTGGTGAACCAAGTTTCAGTGACACCAATGGCAGTTAAGCCTGAGCTGATTTTGTTCACAAATGATGTCAAATGTTCAAAATTTCTACTCATGCTGCGGATATTAAAATGAAGAAGGGAAAGCTCTTTATCTGTGGCATTTTTAACTGACTCAAAGAACTGTTGTTCTGTAGAATAATTACATCTTAAAGAAATATTTTCAATGCTGTCACTGATATCACTCAAGCTAGCTTCAAGAAAATTGCAAATATTATGGTCATCTATTTGAGCCATGATCGGTCAAGATAGGTGACAGGATAAACACGAGTACTGATAACATAGACATAAGGAAACGGCTAGCTAACTTAAATACAACTAGAAAGATAAACACTTGAGACATATAGAATATGAGACAGCAAGTTGGAGAGGAAAAAGGAAGGTATAAACAGGGAAAGGAAGACAAAAAAGAACAGAATGGAAAACATATATATAACTGCGCACAGGATACATTGCGCAGATAAGTAAAAAGACAATTCATATGAAGAAAAAAACAAAACAACAACAGTACCAATAGTGTAGTAAATAAAAAGAGATGTTTTAAATATCATGTGGCAAGAGCTATCAAGTTATTTATAGACAAAGGTTGAATTTAGAGCCTGGCCAAGTCCGCTTCAGAAAAGATGGTTTTCTTCATTTCTTTGCCATCGGTTGCTGGCAACAAGGCGATGACTCGACCATCCCGTGTCCAAGCAGCTTTCACCCGTTGATGGTCACGGGTCATCTTGAGGAGCTTGGCGTTATCGCGCGTGAGGTCCTCCTGGATGGATTTTCTCGTACCAGCGAGCTTGCGTCGACTCCCGAGGACCTCGTTCCTCTTCTTGAACGACGGGAACTTGACAATTATGGTGCTTGGACCCTTTGGACCAGGCTTAATAGCGGAATTCACCCGTTGAATATGGTCTATGTCCCCCTTCTGGAGGTGAATGCCAAGGGAGGTGTTCACCAGATCAACTATTACATCCTCTGAAGGCACCCCTTCAACCTCGGGGATACCAAAAAATCTGAGAGAGTTTCTCCTACTGTATTGCTCTTGGGAGTTCACATCCCTTCTCAGCAGACTGAATCGTTGACCCGTGCCATCATGGCTTTCCTTCAGCAGCTTAATTTCTTTTCTATTTCTTTCTTCAGAAAGCTCAAGGTCAAGGATCCTTGCCTCCTGCCTTCCTATTGACTCCTCGAGCTTTCTCTCCCTCTCGGTGGAAGCATCCTGAAGATGTAGAATCATGGCCGCTTGCTCATCAATCTGTTTTTGAAATTTAGCTAGACTTGAGTCAACATGTGCTGAGACTAGCTGCATAAATTTCTCATCATGAAGTATATCGGTCATGACTGCCTGAATGAGAGAGGCAGTTTCCTTCTTCTCCCTAGCCGATCTTGTTTTGTCAGCCATAGTTGTAACAGGTTGATGGTAGAAGTAGAAGTAGAGGTGAAGTAGAGGTTGAAGTATAAATACAATAGCTGCATACACAAAGCCCAGAGTAGAGTCACAGATCCACTACTTTGCACACATTACACACGAGTTACAACAAAATATTGAGTTAGTGGGGCTGAAGATAAGATTCTTACCACATGGCTCAAAACAAAAGTTGAAACAGTCCGTTAATTCCTCAGTTTCCTCGTTTTTTTAACACATTCCTCTCATGGTACCACTATTAACTTGTGGCAAATTACATATCGCTTTGATTATTTGAAGCTAAAAAGATGAATAACAGAGCAAAGTGTCAGCAACAAAGCCAAGATACACGTGCTCTACGTCTGTTACGTCTACCTGAGGAACTGTATATTTTGTCCGCTTTCTTTGTCAGTCATATTCATAGTGACTACACGTACGCGCGCGTGCGCGCGCTTGATATCCATGGTAACGTGGGATATAACTAGGGGAAAAATAGGGGGTGGGGGAAGGAGGATAGTTAAACCCTATACCATTTTTTTCCCAGCCCGTTTGATTTGCAGGTGTCGGAACCGAGTGGTTTGAGCAAATACAAAGGTCGTGGGTTCAATCCCGCCATGGCACTACTGTCCTTTGGCATGGCATTAATCTACATTTTCCACTCCATGCACAGAAGAGAAATGGGGATCTGGTAGGATGACGAATGCCTGTGCATAAGTCATTGCCATATGCCCTCACTGTGACTATATTGGAGGAATTCTCCCCAGGGAGTGGAGATGGTGCACATTGTGCATGTATCATGTATGAATTTGATGACTGGGATAATATCTGTAAATAATAATGATAATAATAATAATCTTTAAAGTCCACTCCAAATTTTATTAAGTTAAACCGAAAATGGAAATTCTAAAGTGCTTAGAGACAGTATTCCATATTAAGCGCTATATAAATCCAGATTATAATTATTATTATGATATTATCTGTTGCTTCTTGGTAATAGGTAACAGTAAGGCGATCAGGATCCTGTGCTCAGTGTGGTATGATAGCCCTAGATGATATCAGTAAGGGAGAGACCCTCTTCACAGTTCCCAGGTCAGTCCTACTCCATCCAGCCACCTGTAGTCCAGTCGTGGCCCAGCGCCTTGAGGAAGGTATGTTTGGAGAGATTGGCCCGTGTTCTTGAAAAGTGACTGGAGTTGACCACTTGACTGCTATTGGCTCAATATGCGTTCATACCCCTTTGTGCTACTCGCACTAGCATCATTAAGTGGGACTGAAACATCACTGCCAGATTTTTTTTTTGGAAGAGCGCCAACTACTGTTCAAGACCTGTATAAGGTCATTGCAGTGCTAATTACACAGTAGGGCTAGGCATTTTGCAGTGCTACGGTCTTGAAAGTACAATGCACTAAGCACGTTCATGTACGTAGTACGCACAGGCATACGAGAGCGAGAACACATACATGTACAATTGTACATGGTCCGGAGTCAAGTGGTTAACCTGGCTCAACTAAGTCCATCATTTTATGCAGGCCTGGGCCTCGTAATCATATCTGATTGATACACGTCTGTAAAGATCGAATTACACACATGCACATTTCTGCAAATAGTGATGGACTGGTGGTAATTTGAATAAAATGAGAAAAGTAGTCATTGGCCTGAATCCACAAAGGAAGTTTAACTTAACCCATGGTTTAAACCTTCATTTACATAACCCATGGTTTAAAAATTATCGCAAAATAAGCGTGCCTTGCCTGGTGCGCGTTTCACATTGGACCTCTGACTGTGTTGCGCTAGTTTTAGACCATGGGTTATGTAAATGAACTTGAAGATTTTAACCATGGGTCAAATTTAAACCTCCTTTGTGAATTTGGGACATTATGTTTTACTCATTAAAAAAAAATCTGGCAATGTAGTAATAGGCACTAATTTTCATTGATATTGGGAATCATCTCATGCTATTTGTGGAGCGAAAAAATGTTCAAATGCTTTTTCTGTCCACAGATGAAGATAGTTTGGAGACAGAGAGTGGATGGGTGCCCCTCATCTTAGCTGTGATGTATGAACACACCAACCGTAGCTCAAGGTGGCGGCCTTACCTCGATCTCTTCCCAGACTACAGCGAGCTTGATCAACCAATGTTCTGGGACAGGTAAACACAGACAGAGTCTACCTTTGAAAAGGCATAATGGAAACCTACCTAGGGGAGTGGATCACAAAGACTAAGATTGACTTTGAGTTGGACTTAACTATGGCAGGCCGTTCATGCCACTGTTTTCTGTCACCATTTACTTGCTGGCATTGGTCTCTCAAGAGACGTACAAATCATGGTCACATATCTACAAAATTTACATTTTTGGATAGTTCATTATTGAAGGAAAAATTATTATCTAAAGATCATAATTGAGAGACCAAAGGTGAGAGCAACCAGTGGCATAAAATGCCTGCCATAGTTAAGTCCAACTTAAAGTCAATGTTAGTCTTTGTGAAACACCCCCCCCCCCCAGACTCATAATAATAATAATAATAACAATAACAATAATAATAATAATAATTATGATTTTTGCCATATCTATTATTGCTATGTCATATTTTTCTAAATGTACTATGGAATTTTATTTTAACTGTTCTGTATAAACGTTATGCTTTTTTGATGTAAATATGTTCATGTTTATTCAGAGCCCCATGGAAGACCACTACTTATTGGTGAATGGGCTACCCTGACAAAAGATTAGAAATAAATAAATAAATAAATAAATAATGCTCCACACTAACTTTTGTTTTTGTAGGGGGTTTCGATTTTTAATTTTTAGGGTCTGGATGCATGAACCTGAAATTTTGGAGGTCTGGACTTATATTTCAGGTGCCATGTATTTGGGGCACTTGTTGGTGTCAAGCCCTGCCTAGAATCATCAGATTCATTCCCAGTAACTTTGTGAAATATTCAGCCTGTGTAATAGAATTATTATGCACTGAGGCTCGCAGTAGCACACATGCAGTCATTTGATTGAATAGATCACGCTGCTGAGTAAAACTTATGTGTTTTTTCAGTGTAATGAAAAACTCTCCATGATAACCCATCCTTTTAAATGCCGATTCTGAATGGAAAGTATTGAAAGATAGAGCATTTGTAATTTAATCGCTCAAAACTATTACTTTTGCTGTTGCAGTGCGTCAAAAGTTGCGGGCAGTTGTAGGCTTTTCAGTGGCCAAAGGGTTAATGTACTTGCCAATGAAATGTAACTCTCTCTCCTTCCCTCTTTATCTCTTTATCTCCTTCATTTGCTCTTTATCTCCTTCTTTTGCTCTTTATCTCCTTCTTATACTCTTCCCCTCTCTCTCTCCCTCTCTCTCTCTCTCTCTCTCTCTCTCTCTCTCTTTTACTTTCCACCCATTCCCTCTGTATTGGGTATCACACCGAATAACAAGCAGTAATTACATGCAGCCTGAATTGAGGGGGACAGGGATTGCTGAAGCAGTGCAAAGAGATCTGAGGAACATTGATCGGGACTACCATGATGTAGCTCTGCCGTTCATCAAGAAAAATGCAGATTTATTCAGGTAATCATATGGATCAACTGCAGCAGCTTTTTATCCACACTATTAAAGGGATAGTTGAGTTTGTTGAAGAGGGCGCTACACAAAATAATTTTTTGTGAGATAATGAAAAACTGAGTGCCAAATTTGAAAGAATATACAATTTAATTGACAAAATCAGCTTTGTTTGATCAAAATTGGTTCAGAGATGACTGGAATATCTATAAATATAACCATATCTAATATTTGTGGGGCCCCACAAATATTCAGTACTTTTGAACCAGCTGTTGAAAAAAGAAAAATCGCCTTATACCTTTTATTTCAGCCAATGCCAATATTAGCTTTGTGTTGGTTATAAATAATACGCACAACCAGCCGGCCTGTGTATTGTAATTATTAATTTATTAATCAATTAATGGTCACCATATATTTGAAAGTGGAGCTGAATTGGTATGATCATATTTAATTTAAATTTCACACGTTTTGGGGTCTAAAGTTACCTTCATAGCAATTCTAGGTTCTTAAAGGGCACTAGAAATGTCGTAAATAAAAATAAGAGCAATAACCATGTACTTTGAGTTTAAAGGCATTTGGGGTCTTAAACAAGAATTCAACTATCCCTTTAAACTCTTTTTGTAGGAGGCTCAGACTGAAATTATTAGGGTCTGTATACATAAATGTTATGCTAAAATTTCAAATTTGTGGGGGTCTTGATGTAGACTTTAAGCTCTCTTGTGTCTTGAGTGCCTGTTTGTGTTCATGCTCTTTAAGTACAGTTGGACGCGTTGGTCTATTGAACTTGAATGAATATAAATTCTCTGTACAGAAAAGATAGTAAGTTTGTTATGTAGGCTTTAACAGGTCAGAAGATTCTTTGAATGTCTTGGAATTCATTTAAAAAAAATCTGGAAAGGCATTTCACTTGGGTATTGTGTGTTACCAGTGACCATGTTTAGAGTGTAGAAACAAGTTTTGATATATTTATATATATATATATATATATATATATATATAAAACAACATTTCATTGTACTTTCAGTTACAGTTGTAGACTACTCAATGTTTCACAGATTTAATGCTAGGTAGTAGACAAAGAAAGTAGGGTTAAAGACGAATAGATCTGTATTTAATTAAACTGCCAGAGATCTTATGTTTTTAGTCTTGTAAATGCTGTGCAAGGGTTTGTGAGAGATTTTATACATATGTTCCATCATTTCTTGAATTCAGGGTTAGCTTGAAAAAGAACTGGAGAAGAATGACAAACTGAGATTTCATATTCCTTAGCCTAAAATACGATTTGTATTGGTTGTTGTCGTAATACAGTGAGGAGAAACATAATCTCGATCTCTACAAGCGCACAGTATCATTCATCATGGCCTACAGCTTCACCGAATCGCCCGACTATGATGAGGATGACGATGACAGTGATGACGATGATGAAGAAACTCATCCACCCATGATGGTTCCCCTGGCTGATGCCCTGAATCACATCGCTAAGAACAACGCCCAACTCAAGTTTGGTAAGGAGAGTCTGAGGATGGTGGCTACAGAAGACATCAAGAAGGTGAGCTCATCAGAAACTTGTTGTTTATAAAATAATTAATCTGAGTTGAGTGTGAAGTTTTATTATCCAAACAAAAAGTACATCAATATAAAAATCAAATGTGAATGTTTACATTGAAAGGATAAATGGGACCAGAAAATAACATTAAATGCTAATCGTGTCTGGTACCACTAACATACAAAAGTATCACAACAGTGAATGAGAATGTAATGAATAAATATGAATAATTATATACCTCACTTAAGAAATCCAGCCATCTGATTGGTCGAATTGCATTCATAAACTTCAACTGTTCCTGTAAAATTCCCGGTAACCATGCTTAAAACATTTCAATATTTTTAATAACCATGGTTATTAAAAAAATAGGTCAGTCTCCATGGTTACCCCATAGGTTTACATGTTAAAAAATGGTTTGAGCGATGGAGGATACCATACGTGTGCGAAAAATTGGTCGGCAATTTCAATACAATTGAATCTCGATAGATCTTACCGACAATTTTATCTTGCATTGTTGACATGAAGACGAAAATTAACTCTCAAAAACAAAAAAACAACATCTGCCGATAGATCTTGATCTAAGTTCGTGCCAATATGCATTGCAAAAGTAAAAGAAGGGTCCGTTTCATGGAGCTTTTGCGAAGCATCCCTCACGCGGAGCCGTTTTCAATCCATTTTAATGTATATATTGGAGAAAACTGCCAAGCATGTTAACGGCGCGCGATAGCCGAGTGGTCTAAGCGTTGGTTTTCGATACACCTCTTGTTGTACGCAAGAGTTCGAATCCCGTCTTCGACAAAAATGTAAATTATTTTTTATTTTTTATTTTTTAGTCTATTTTTTTTCGGCATATAAAAGTATTAATGACTGCTTTAATATTCGAGAAATAGTTGTTTTCATACGCTCTCGGGAAGGTTACAATTGGGCTATTCCCCTCGGCAAGCCTCGGGGAATAGCACAATTCTAACCTTCCCTTGAGCGTAATAAAACAACTATTTCTCTCAAAGCAGTCATTAATACTATACTATTGAGCTAACCGAGCTACAAGCTATTCTACATATAGGCTAAAATATGTTCTGTGATTAAATACAAAGCTTTGGTATTTTACACTAAATAAAAAGATAAAGAATTATATACCAAAACATAATATTTACAAAAAGGCATCTTGATCTAACTGATAATGAAGTTTATGTGAAAGCTTGTCCATAAACCTCTTATTGTCAGTTTGAAATTACAAAATTATTTGCACCACACAAAACAAACCCCCAAAACAACATTAAATGTTTATTTTACGGAACTGCTAATGAAACCATTATATTTAGTTTGGTTTGGTTCAATCTTCATAGGTTGAATTGTACTATGTGCAAGTGTTGGTGTTTACCTATAATATAAGTTTGTAAGTGTGATGGGAATGAGCTTTGAAGTGAGTGTAATCTTTTAAATTTCAATAACAAATTTTAATCTAGATTTAATGTTCAATGAAGTGGTTGTTTTCAAAACCAACAGTGCTTCAAATAGATCAGGAAAAAATAAAGAATCAAATATGTAAGATAGTTTGTGGGATATATTCACTCAGCCTATGTACATCAAAGGAACAGCTTAGCCAACTTTTCTTTTCTTTAAACTGGAGGAAAAGAGAAAATCAACCAGTTAAGTAGAATTTACTTTTACATCATCAGTCTGGACTGTCAGGTCTTGCTGTTCACATAATCTCATCTCTCTCTTTCCCCCCTCTTTCTCCTTCTCTCTCTTTCTCTTTCCCCTCTCTTTCTTCCCCCTCTCTATCTCTCCTCCCCTCTCTCTTTTCCACTCTCTCCTCTTTCTCTCTTTCTCTTTCCCCTCTCTTTCTTCCCCCTCTCTATCTCTCCTCCTCCCTCTCTCTTTCCCCCTCTCTATCTCTCCTCTTTCTCTCTTTCTCTTTCCCCTCTCTTTCTTCCCCCTCTCTATCTCTCCTCCTCTCTCTCTTTCCCCCTCTATCTCTCCTCTTTCTCTCTTTCTCTTTCCCCTCTCTTTCTTCCCCCTCTCTATCTCTCCTCTCTCTATTTCCCACTCTCTCTATCTCTCCCCCTCTCTTTACCTCTCTCTCTCTCACTCTCTATCTCTCTCTATGCAATAGGGAAGTGAAGTTTTCAACACCTATGGAGAAATAGCAAATTGGCAGCTTCTTCACATGTATGGCTTTGCTGAGGAGTACCCGGAGAACATCTATGATACAGTATGTTTTTCAAAGATTTTCCAATACTTCTTTAGGTGCTACATCACTTTTTCACTTTTTTCAAAGTCTTCAACTGATTCTTATATTTTGAAGTATTTCACAAGTAATCTGTTTTTGTTGGCATTGTCATTATTTATCTATATGGAAATAAAAAGAATGGGGAAAACTCATAAATTACTTTACACTTTTACCATAATTCAACCACCTCTAATAAAAAGAACAATAAATAAGACATACAAAATACAGTTCCTTATTCCGTTTTCCTTTTCTAATGCTACAATATATATTTCTACATCTTATTTCTTTTCCTCATGCAACATAGGTGGATATTCCACACAGATATCTTCTAGAAGAAGCACGGACACACGAAGCATTCAGTGCTACTATGGACGAGAGATGGAAGTTCTTGAAAGAGTTAGAGGCAGTGTCAGACGATGGAGGGTTTGTGATTGGCATGGATGGAGTTTTGGCAGAGGATGAAGTATTTATGGCACTCAAGGTGAGTCTCAATAACTCTTGAAAGTACTCTTTGTCTAACCTTGACCTGAAAAGGCTAAAATACAGCTGAATTCTACATTGCGTCACTTTCATTACTTAAAGGGAGTGTAGCTTGGAAAATACTGGTTAGCGACATCTACGTCTTCTTTTGGAAAATTCAACGTAAACGTATGGACTTAATTAGCGGTAGTCTGCGACTTAATCTTTACATGGTTAGCATTCGTGAAACAGATTGTAGTTGTATTATACCCGATTTTCCCCAGAGTCAGGCCATAGGAAAGACACATAGTCTCATCAGGCTACACTCCCCTTAAACCACTAGTTAAGTTAAACAAAACTCTCAAACACAAAATTATGTCCCTTTCTGTTTACTGTTTATTATGATAATACTCGCTCTTGCTATAAGATCTGTATTTAACTTTAACTTTAACTTTTTAACTTTAACTCATTATTGAGCATAGGGCATTGTGCATAGAATCATATACTTTGACACAGAGTTAATGCTCTTTTGGCTCCAAACAGATAATACTCTCGAACTTGTCCTCCTCAGAGTGAAAGAAAGTCATTTTCAAGTAAGTTTGCTGATGAACTACCACCCATAATGCATTTTATATCAGACTCGTATAGTAGAATGAGTAGAATGGAGGAAAGCTGATTTGCTTTGAAACGTATTGAGAAATAAAGAATCAGGAATGTGCAATATATGACTTTTCATCTAAATTCTTTTAAAATGAAATTCTCTCTCGCCCCCTTTCCCCCTCTATCTTTTTTCTGTCCATCTGTCCCTTTTCTGTCTCTCTCCCTCCCTCTATCTTTCTCCGTCTATGTCTGTCTGTCTTTCTCACTCTCTGTCTCTCTCCCTTCCTCTATCTTTCTCTGTTTCTCCCTCCCTCTATCTTTCTCTGTTCTTCTGTCTCTCTCTCTCACACACATCTTGTATAGGTTATCACCCTTGATAAGGAGACCTATGATAATCTTGGACCAGACGACTGTCCCAGCCCTGAGGAGGAATCCTTCACAAATGGTAAAAACTTTTCCTGGATTTCTCCAAAAACAATTCTAAATGTGTTGTCCATGTAGTGCTACATTTAGGTTATATTTTGATAGTGAAAATAGCCCTTGCACTTGTTTCGTTAGTTAGTTAGTGATATTCATGGTTGTGGCCATTCATTGCCAGGTAGTCCTATTTCAGATATTAGGCCTTGCTGAAGTTCACCTTGCAGAGTCGTTTCCATGTGCATTGGAATGCAACTTTCATGGGTTGTAATATTTTTAAAACTTGTGACTTGTGAAAATGTTCATTTTATTATGCGTGCTTTTGCACTGCTAGAGTTGTAGGCAAATACGACAGCTGATAGCTGAAAAAGCAAGGAAGTCGTTACTGCAAGGTATAATTATTACATTATTATCAAATGGATGATCTTGGGTACTAACTAGGAATGTTGGCCCTTGAAAATGTACAGCTCTTCCCATGACTTCTGTTGAGGGTTGTCTGTATCACTATCAGTATCACTATCAGTAACAATTTTCTCTTTACCACACTCTTGCAGGCAAGTTGTGCTATATGCCATTTTGTCAAAAAACATTTTCAAATAAATGGATGATCTTCAGAACAAAATGGAGGTGCAACTCCCCCCCAGATTTCTTCTCAGATTTTTCTCTAGGTCAGTAACATTTTTCTCTGTATGTTTCATTTGCAGGTGAACTTTGCAACTTGCCCGAGTCGTGGAGGGGATTATTAGCAGGTGCAGCAAACCGAACCTTGAAAAACTTCAACGATCTTCACCCGAAGGATACTGACGCAGAATCATCAGTACCAGAGGAACTAGCCAAACTGAGTCACAGGGCACGTTATTCTCTTTATGTTAGGATGGGGCAGAGAAAGATCTTGGAAAGATTGGTTGATTTCTGTAGGATCACCTGGTGAATGAAAAGCCCATCCTCCAAGATTAAAGGGTTGGTTCCTAGGTATCCTGGAAATCAGGGAAAATGAGTTATCTTTTGCCAGTAAAGGAGAAGTCAGGGATTTTCAAAATATTCAATCTTTTCACAGGAAATTGCACAGTACTGGTGCTTAGGATAGAGTTCCTGTTCTTACTAGTGTATCATAACGGTTCATACTCTCTGCAAGAGAGGGACAAGTAAGTTAACACACCTTCTGCTGACAATATGGATGATATGCTGTTCCAAATGTGTATTCCATATATTTTGCATTATGATATAATGTCCCTATGTACATTTATATATGTAACCCTGGCTTTACCTCCAGCAACCATTACCGGCACAGTTCTTTCTTTGATACTTGATAATCTCAGTACGTGTTTTTAAGGTTTTAAGTTCATTTCTTAGAAATAATTTTGTCTTCAAACTTTACATTTTTATAAATTAATACATCTACCTCTGTTAAGTTTTAGAATGTAAATAAGCTCAGTGTTGAAAATTCCAGCAGTTATTTGAATCTATGGGTTTCAAATTTGCATTTTGAGAGAAAAAGAGAGAGAGCGCCAAAGAAATCTGTGTTGAATAATTTCATGTACCGTATGTCGTTTAAAAAAACAACAACACTCGTCTGCACTTGGATTCCCACCCCCCCCCCCCAAGTAGAATTAGTTCTATGTTATGTGGTTTATATTAAATCAATTTCCTTGATAAAATAGTGTGTTGTCATTTTTGTATGTGTACTGGAATAGAGATAAATTAAAGGGTGGAAAGGGTGCAGTAAGTTCAGAGATAGAGGAAATGACAGTTTGGGTAAAGAGTAATAGCAGAATGTGAAAAGAAAGGAAAAAGACACAAAACAATTGGATTGTTGGAAAGTACCATTAAAATATATCAAACAACTTTTCATGATCGTTAGTTGCAACATCCATCAGGCTCCTAAAGGTTTTGAATGCTTTATAAGAAATTCATGATGAACACATTTGACAAAAAAATAATTGGCATTTGTCTTTATTAATGTTTACATGAATAATAATACATTCTCATAAAATTACACTTTCATTTATTCTGTCTTTGTAGCTCCAAACTACTCGGTGAGATATTGCCTTGATGTGACTAAAGGTACCATAATAATTCACATTTTTCTCTCTATAAAAATAACTATATACATATACATGCATGTCAACAAGTATTGTACATGTACTTCTACAGTATTTTTGAGTAAATGTATGTATTTCAACTGCTTTTTCACAAATATGCATTTTTCTGCTAAAATTTTTCTACATGGTAGGATAAGTACAGTCGTTGCAAAAAAAGGTGTGGTGTGTAAAAATGAAGTGTACAGCATTTTCGGGGCAAATAATAATGTTTCTATTTTCATTTGGGGCACCTACATGAGTATGCAGGAGAAGCAGGTATATCGGTGATATTCAAGCAACCATCATCATAAATTACATTGATGAGTTACAAAAATGAAAGAGAAACTGCTAGATCACCACAAAAACGAAGCCAAGCAAGGTTCATCTTTCTGGCACTACAACTGTTAAAGGATGATGAATTTAAATATTAAAAGTCCTGCCACTAGATGTTGGTGTTGTGTGTAGCTCAAAGCCAAGATCCTTCAGATCTCCAGTCAAGAAAATAAAGTTACTTGGCTATGACGCCTCTTTTTAGTTACAAGCATTATGGTCCACATGCTATATTGGTTCATTTTGGAAGACAATTCCTCTGTCCAAGTATGCTATCATGTATGTTTGGCCTAGATGACCTTAGTCTAAGATCCTGGTCTATGATACTGGGACCATGTTGGTCTCATTTTGGAAGACAAAGGCAGGCCTCTGTCCAGGTATGCTACCATGTATGATTGGTCTAGATGACTGTAGTCCAAGATCCTGGTCTATGATACTGGGACCATGATGGTCTCATTTTGGAAGACAAAGGCAGCCCTCTGTCCAGGTATGCTACCATGTATGATTGGCCTAGATGACCTTAGTCTAAGATCCTGGTCTATGATACTGGGACCATGTTGGTCTCATTTTGGAAGACAAAGGCAGCCCTCTGTCCAGGTATGCTACCATGTATGATTGGTCTAGATGACTGTAGTCCAAGATCCTGGTCTATGATACTGGGACCATGATGGTCTCCTTTTGGAAGACAAAGGCAGTCCTCTGTCCAGGTATACTACCATGTATGATTGGCGTAGATGACTAGTCTAGCCTAGTCCTAGATCCTGGTCTATGGTACTGGGACCATGTTGGTCTCATTTTGGAAGACGAATGTGATCCCATCTTTGGCTTCCAGTAGGTATTCATCCTGAAAAACAAAGAAAGAAAAAAAAGAACAGTGACAAATTATAAAGCTTGACCAGCTTTTGTTTTGATACAACCTAAATCATTAAAGACATACCAATACGTCATTAAATACATACCTGTATACTCCTTCATAAGAATTAATCATGCACTACATATTTGAAACCATTTCAAACTTGTTACAAACTGCTTGGAAACACAGACTTCTCAATACAAAAATACGTCCAAAAAATTGTATGAATCACAAATTAATAATTGCACTATTGAGACATTTAATCCTTTTTTTAATTTAATCAAATTATTTTACACTCAAGGTACACAGCAATGTGAAATGCAATGAATCGATTTAAGCAAGGTGTTACCTGGAAATCTTCAGGGAGGGGTGCGAGGTAGTGTTGCCATTCATTTAAGTCACCCATTGACAAGTTTTTCTGAAAGACAAAATCAAAAAGACAGGCTTAAATTCAATATTCAGCTTATAAACCCTAATGAGGGTAAAGATTATGATCATAAAGATAATGAAAATAATATAATGCAGGTGATGATGATGAAGAAGAATCTGAAAATGGTGGAGGAGAAGATGATGATGATGATGATGATGATGATGATGATGATGATGATGATGTTGATGATGATGATGAAAGCAGTTGAAAATGATAATAATAATGATGGTGATTAGAAAATGATGACAATGATGACAAAGATGATGGCGAAAAAGATGATGAAAGTGATTATAAGTTGATGACAAAGATCATGGGAGTTATTACAAGATGATGGCTATAAAGATCATGGGAGTTATTATAAGTTGATGACAAAGATCATGGGAGTTATTATAAGATGATGGCTATAAAGATCATGGGAGTTATTATAAGATGATGGCTATAAAGATCATGGGAGTTATTATAAGTTGATGACAAAGATCATGGGAGTTATAAGATGATGGCTATAAAGATCGTGGGAGTTATTATTAGTTGATGACAAAGATCATGGGAGTTATTATAAGTTGATGACAAAGATCATGGGAGTTATTATAAGATGATGGCTATAAAGATGATGGAAGTCATTATATTGATGATGATGTCGATAGTGGTCCACATGCAGTGGTATTAATGATGACGATGATTGTGATGCTGATAATGCTGCTGCTGCTGTCACTACGTAATTTTTCCACACCACTTTTATTCATTCATTCATCCCATCACTGCAGGAAGGAGTTATGTCACCATACGCTACCTTTAACACAGTCGGCTTTAGCTTCCCAAGCTGGCATGGTCTCTGTGGGCCCTTCTGTACATCTCCAGGTGCTTTCACATTGGAGGAAGGTCCATTCGTATCTGTACAGTCACAGCTAAGCATGTCATGTGTGATGCAGGAGCTGCCTTCATGTAATGTGAACAGGTCCTGTGGGTTAACATGAAACAGATATTACACCAGACGGATGATACATTTAACTTACATTTGCATTTGGCTATCTGGAATTTATACCAAATAGATAACAAACACCCAAACAGTAAATGGACACACTGACTAGAAAACAAAGTGAAAGACAACAAATCACCAGCAGATGACATAGAGAGTACATGTATAGGGAGAAGATAATCTGATAGTGATCTGACTCATGCTTCAACACCATTTGCTTTGGATTTATTCATCAAAGATACATGAAAATGATAAAGGTTAGAGTTGCTATTGGGTTTTGGGCTAGGTTTAGGGTTAGGGTTAGGGTTAGGTAAAGTGTCAGGTCCAGGGTTGAACTTAGGAATTTTGCTAGTGTACTAGGTAATTGACTGTGAAGCAATAATTGTCACTGGAGCATGTGTTGTAAAAAATGATTAGACGGCTAAGGGGTTTGATGAACTCACATTAAACCTCATGGCAATTTACTATTCTGAAGGGTAAAAGAAGCTAGCAGTCTTGCTTACTCTGAGATCTTCTAGAGAGAACTTGACAGAGCCACTTTGGCCCTTAGCATCCACCACAGCTCCACTAAGACTCTGCTTGCTGATCTGACGCTGGTAGATCTTCTCCTCAATGGTGCCCTTCAATGAAATAGACAGATTTAGGGTTACAGCCTTTGTTTTAAAACCCTATATTCTGACACCCCAATGATTAAACACCCAAGTGTCCCAATCCAGTGTTCTGACACCCTTATGTCCCGACAAGCCTATGCCCCGAGACCCCGACATTCTGACACCCTATGTTCTGATGCGGCGGTCTCCCTACACTCTTTGTGTTTCAACATCCTTATGTTCTGACACTTCTATGCTCCACTAGACCTATGATCCAACACCCTTGTCTTCTGACACACGTGATTCCTGACACCCCTATCTTCCAACTTCCTTATGCTCTGATACCTTGAGGCTGTGATTACCACCCTCTAATCTTTCCATTCTCCAATGTTCCAAAACTCTTACATTTCCAGGGATTGTATCTAGAAGTAAATGCCCATCCAAAGCTACTTACAGCGGTTATGAGTCGATATATGTACACTGTCTTCTTTTGCCCATCTCGCCAGACTCTAGCCATGGCCTGTAATAGAGAAAGGGTAAAGGTCAACTTGTTTTTACATGAAACTACTATGTATCAAAATTTAAATAGGCAATATCATCAAATGTAAAATCACTAAAAATGATCATAAAAATGATGTTTAATTCAAGCATACATTCTCGAAACAACTTAACATGAACTTTTAAAGCATTATCATGGAATTGTAAGGTTATTCAAAAGTTTTCTCCAAAATGACTTGCTTTCTAATTACTGTACCTTTAAGCAGGGGCATATGCAGGATTTTGTGGACAGTACAATAATGAAAAATAAAAGGTACAGTATGTCACTAGAATTAACAAAAATAGGGGGGGGGGGCATGGGCCAGACAAGCCCCTTCCCCTCAAAAGCTGAAAGTACCTTAGAGAATGTACACACAGCATTACTTTCATATACCTGAAGGTCATTAGCAGGATTCCAGTCAATATCATAGAGAAGAAGCCTGGAGGCACCAATCAGGTTCAAACCAACTCCACCAGCTTTAGAGCTCAGCAAGAAGATAGCTGCGATGAGGGGAACAATATGGCAAAAGAGAGAATAAATCATAATAGCAGAATCGTTAATAATTTTGATAATGATATTCAGGTTCTTTTGATGCATCCATGAAGCTCTTAGAGCTTTTACGGATATTACCCTGGTCGTAGGATCCAGGCTTGCCTGGCTTCACACACTGTGTGCACAATCTCTTTTCACTAGGGGGCATTCCAGCTAGGTGCCATTTAACTCCTGGGAGGATAGAAGCAATGTAGTTGCCTCATTCAATGACATCAGTGCCGTACCAGGTATCAAACCCACATCCTTTGCATCTCTAGAAAAAATAATTTCAAGAATAATGCACCACCTATGGAAGGTCAGAAGAATATCAGGAACAGAAATTAGAACTGGCCCTTCTGAATTCTTCATCTTTTCATAAAAACTCCTTCCGGATAACTATCAACTATATCGGGCAAAGGAGATATTCATTATTCATCTTTTCTTTCCATGTCATGAAGACATTTGTGGCTCAAAGTATGACGTTTTAAAGGAAGTTTAACAAATGTAGAATTATTGTTTCCCAATAATGACAATGAACATTTTGTAAGCTTACTTTCTTTAGCATAGCTGCTGTTGAAGTGCTCCACGATGGACTGTCGTTTGGCGGTCGGTGTGGAACCATCTAGTCTGCAGAACTGGTAACCCTCGATACTACACAATGCTTGCAGTATATCTAGTGTCTGAAGAATAAGAGGATTAAAAAAACATGAAAATTTATTAAACTTAGTCCGATGTATTAAAGGTAAAAGAGTTAAGAAAATAACAAAGCATTCAAGACACCAAGGTGATGTAACCTCAGAATGTGTGTATGTGCGCATCTGTAAATCGTTTCAATTACAAATAGAAGAAATGTAAGTGTGTATCTAATAAACACACAAATGCTACTTTCCAATTCATGGTGGCAAATGAGGAAATGAGTCACAAGTCTATCAACAGCCTATGTTGGACATCCATAGCTAAGAACATGTAATAATAGGCAATTATGATTTCAAACCATCGCCTATTGGAAATCCTAACCAGAATTTACTATACCGGTATTACTATTACTTGTGTAAATGTACATTCTAATGATCAACCTTTCTATGCCTATGGGAAACAGGTGGTCCCTGATTTAAGCCTATAGAGGAGTAAAAGAATGCATGCAGACATCAGAAGGATCACAGGTAGATTGCCCAAAAATCTTAAGAAATATCTGTTTAATTTAGCTTATAATTGATTACCATTACCTTTCATGTCCGTACCTTTCCTAATGTAATTTTGTCTAGTTATCATGTATTTCATCGTTTGCACAAGCTGCTGCGCCTTGAGCATATATTGTCAAGTGGATTTGGCTTACAAATCTTATGCATTATTATTTGAATTTGAATTTATTAACAACAACGTATCACAATAATGACAGTACATATGAACAATCATACAATGCAAAAAATAATACTGATACATGTATACATAACATAAGAGTAATGGTTTAAAAACGATATTTAGACATACATCTGCATACTATTACCTAAATATGTGTATTACTCATCATCATCATCATCATCATCATCATCATCATTATTATTATTAACAATGTTGATACCTGAGTGTAGTTGGACACCAGGACAAGTCTCTCCCTCCTGGTTGGATCAGCATGCATGGCTCTAAGCATCTCAGAGAGCACACACAGCTTACCACAGTGGGCTAGCAGCGGTCTGCCTTCAGTGTATTCAGGAGGGTAGATGGGTAGCAGACCCTTGTACAGAGATTCCTAGATGGAAAAGTTCAAATGGGGGGAAAAGGAAGGAGATATAATGCAAGAAGAATGAGAAGAAAAATAATGAAGAGATGGGAAAAGAAGAAAAAGAAAGTGATGAATTTCAATAAGTAATAGAAGATGGATGTGAAAGAAGTCTAAGTCATTTACAAATTAGTGAAATGGCAGACTTGAGAGAAGGTAAAAAAAAAGTAAAAGTCAATAAAAAATATCATTTACAATTTTAAATTTGATATATGCAAATATGCTTGGAAAGGCAGGGTCATGCACCTAGCAAATCTTCTTGCTGACACTTATCTTCAATAACAAATTCCTGGAATTTCTTACAACCCGACACTATTAAAAACTCTTTCACTGAGACCTGCAAATGTTCGAAAAATGAATACACAATGCTTTTATAACACTTAACGATACAGGAGTGAGAGAGGCATCACTGTGCAAATTTAAAGAGCACATTTAAAATTTGTCAACTATAACACTTCACGATACAGGAGTGACAGAGACATCACTGTGCAAATTTAAAGAGAACGTTTAAAATTCATCAACTATGTAGTCGCTATCCTCACCTCCTCATCGTCATGATCTAGCAACCAGCTCTCTCCTCCTCTCCTCTTCCCCTCCTCATCCGCCTTCCTGCTGGCTTGGTAGAGCAGGCTGGGATCATTGCAGAGCTTCTTGAGTGCCCCTATACAGACCAGATGGGGGGAGCCGGCCGAGGCGGAGGAGGCGTACCCCCTGGACAGGCAGGACCGGATGAGGGGCGAGCGCAGGAGGTGCTGGTAGAGCCGGAGCTGGAGGGCAGACGGCTTGCAGAACACCACCGTCTCAACTGTAGAAGAGAAAAAGAGAAAAAAATACAGTCAAAATAACTGACCACCTGAATAGAAAGACTACCTGTCTATAAAGGCAGCATTTTTTGTTTCTCGCCTTGAAAATGGTTTCTCATTGAATTATGTACTAAAGGACCCTGTACATAAAGACCACCTGCCTATAAAGACCACTTTTCTTAGCTTCCTTGGTGGTCTATATAGGCAGATTTCACTGTATCTGACTAAAAAACATCAGAACAAGTACCGGTAGGCAATCCCAGGAATATACAAAAGTGGGTCGTGTTTCACAAAACCGTCATAACTACAAGTTCAAAGACATCTCAATGAAACCTGAGTTTTAATTAAATATTATTTTTAGGGGGATGTCGGTGATCTTGTGCTTATGACGGTCTTCGTGAAACGATGCCCTGGCCACTACATACAAGTGACCTTTGCAGATTCTACGAACAACACCCTACTCTTTCTTGAAGGAGACAATATATGTGACCGGTATGGCAATGTTAATTAACTTAAAAGCAAGGTGAATCACTGATAAGTGTTACTTACATATGTATAAAACTCATGCTCCCTACCTAAGTAACCATGGTGATCAGGGCTCTTGTCTTGAAAACAGTAACAAATTGATCATAATAAATACTCTGGATATATACTCTGTAATTATCTATTAATTACCTTTGGGTGGGAGGTACTTGTTGTTGATCTCCTGAGTACGTCTGAGTACAAAAAGACTTGTCAACCTTGAAAGCTGGAAATAAAGAGATTTAAAAAAAATGTAAAATATCAAAAAAATTATCCAGGGCCCTGCCTTACAAGGAGTTAATATTAACCAAAAATTATTTTTGCAAGTATGTACATAAGAAATAGGAGATTGCAAACTCGCAATTGATTGGAGGACTTGAGATTGATTTGGATCAATCACAACTCTTTGACAGGGCTCTAAGACAGGGGCAAGGTGTGCAAGTACCACTGTTCAGACACTTATAGCGCTACTGTTTTGTATCTGTTGTATCTGATCTATCATAAATTTATCAATAAGAAACATGAACAATTCATGTAGGGATGCTGCCATTGACAGTTTTAATGTTACAAAACAAAAAATGTGTTGGCATCAAGCAATATGTGCCAAAATATATGGACTCATAATAAAAAAAAACTCTACACCTAATAATGTACAAAATTATTCAGGGATTAATTACATTCCCCCAAAAGTACTAAATTGAAATTCTACTTGCAAACTTTTACACAAATATGCAATCTGTAAAGAATTTCATTTAGATATTAAAGTTAGGTTTGCATTTGATCTACAAAAGTGGTTAGAAGATCAAGTGTGCTATATTGTATACCTCTGTAGCTCTTGCAGCTCCTAGCGTCTTTTCCTCCTTGGTAGCACTGGGTTGATTGGATCTCAATATGGGCTCTTCATAGACACGATGGAATGATCCACTGGTACCTTTGGGATACAGTCAGAGGTGTCAATTAAAACCTTGTTATAAGTATCTTAAAGGGAATGCATCGTTTGCAGCTTGAAATAATAAATTGAAATAATAAATATTGTGAAAAAATACCCTCCCTCCTGAAGAAAACCTAATATGTATATGAGACTTTGAAACAGGATTCAAGAAAGCTGTGTCTGTTGAGAGACACAAGAGCGCTAACTCCTATCCTAGAAGACATAATTAATGCCCTTCTGGCTCTCAACAGATGATTTCATATTGAGGCCTGCATGGAAGTGTATTTGAAGAGCTTAGTTCCAAAAGGAGCTAAATCCATTTTTGTAACTTCAGAGAAAAAAGAAATTGTTTACCAGGCATCTATGGAAAAATGGTATTAGAAAGCTCCCCAAATTTAGGTAATTAATTTTGTTGAAAGGCGGGTACTTAAGTGAACAATGTTCTGATATCAGTAACTCAATTTTCTTCAAAAGTGGATTTATCTCCTTTTGGAATTAAGCTTTTCATTTAGAGACAACTTCTGTGTGTAAGTGTGTACATTCACAAACGGGTAAGTAGACTCACAAGTCACTTTAACCTAAAAGTTGCAATGCATTTTTTTGTACACATGTATGCAATAATCAAGGCTGATGCATTGACTAGTGTAGTTGCATGGAACCCCAAACACACTGAGCAAAAATATTCTTTTGGCGATTGGTAGCCTTTAAGACATATCTTATTCATGAGGAAAGCAATTTTGAAACAGATCACGGTCTTGCAATATTCCTCTGGGATGCAATCAGAGATACATACTGTTCTATTCAATGTATCTAGTACTTGAAAATGAATTATTCATGAGAGGAATGTGGTACACACTTCACAGTTGTACGTGCCATCTTCACACCAGGGGGGGGGGGGGCGCCATGCTCACCCACTCTGTATCATTCTCATTTTATCTTGAGACTACTTGCAAATTATGGAACTGAGGCCAACTTAAAAAAAAAACATGTTTAGCGTCCGGTTTTTTTGTTTTTTTTTCTTTCAAAATGGCTGCTCAAAATGGCCGCTCGGTATATTTTCCCTGACAGTCGGGCCATTTTCAAGATGGCCGCCGACTTTTTTTAAAAATTTATTTTTTAAAATCAGAAATAGATCTATTTTAGCAGTGTTTTTCATGTTTTTTTTCTTTCAAAAAAAAAAATTCAAAAAAAAAAAAATCAAAAGAATTTTTTTTTAAAAATTCAAAAAAAAAATAGGAGGCGGCCCCCAAAAAGGAAGGGGGCAGGAACGCTAAACATGTTTTTTTTTTTTAATGGCCTGATATGAAATAATAATATAAAGGGAACGAATTATTAAGGTAAGGTTCAAACAGTTTGAAATACCTGGTAACTCTTTGTGTAGTCAATCAATTAATGAGGAATGTTTTACAATTTAATGTTTGTTCATTTCAATATTTTTCCATACCAACATTACACTGTTACTATTCTTTATTCACCATTATCATCAGCAGCATTATTGTCATTTTCAAGTTTATCGTCATTACCACTTTCAATAATATTACTGTTTCATTAGAGGTACTATTTCTTAAAACTTACCTAAAACTCCAGGATTGCAGAATTCCACAATGGAATAGAACTCTTGTAAATCATTCTGAAAATTAAAAAAAATCAAATAGACAATAAAATATTGTCTTCAAATCCATCTTTCTACAATAACAAACACATCAATTAAGATATCCATAAGCCAGTAAGCACTTAGGTAACAATCCTCCACATTATCTTTTGATTTCTTTTGAAATTAGTATATACATGTCAAAAACAAAACAATGAGACATGCTTGTAACAAAATGCAAATACTGAAGGAAATTATGTTTTCATCATGGACAACATACATATATCAACTACATGTTTGAAGTGTAACCTTATACAGTCAAACCTGCTTTAGCAACCACCTGTATAGAATGACCATGCACCTGTCTACAAGGACCACATACTTTGTTTCCCTTGAAAATGGTTTCTCGTTGAAACATGTACTAAAGGCACCTGTACATAAAGACCACCTGCCTATAAAGGCCACTTTTCTTGTCTCCTTTGGGTGGTCTGTATAGGCAGGTTAAACTATACATCATAAATTGATGTGAAAGGTCATGCTTACCTGTATAGGGGTACCTGTTAACAAGATTCTTCTTCTGACAGCCAGGCTAGATAGGAGCTAGGTATGTAGGCAAGATTGAGTAACAAGTTTGAGGCAAAATGAAATTGACATAATTTATGATAAAATCAATATTTACCTATGCTTTACACATGTTTTCAGTTCAAAAGATACATAAAACCTGTACAAATGCCAACAGGCAAACTTAACAAAACATCTGTAAAACAGACGTTTATAACATTAAAGGTGTGTTGCCAAACAGAAATGCTACCTATATCTCTACTTGTATTCCCCCAACTCTTACGATATATTTTCTGTTCTTTTTCTTGAAAAAAGATAAACTTCATTATAACTATGACAATATTGTCATACACCATGAAATATGAAAATTAAATATCAAAATGTTTGTAATTACTTTCAATGAAGACAAAAAAAGTAATCATCCACAACTTCTATTATGTCATATAACTTAAGCTGCAACAATTTTTAAAATGTGGTTTCACAATTAATGTCTGAACGAGGATAAAGGGTGAATTCTTACTGATGCAGTCTTGATGGTACTGTTCTTCAGTCTATGTCCCTCGTCACACACGACCAGGTCAAAGGTTATACCTCTGATGTCATCCGCGTAACGCACCATCATCTCATAGCTGATCACCATCACTGGGAACAAGGGGCTCTTCTTGAACTCCTGTATTTCATCGGGTCAAAGTTCATTACAAAAAAAGTACATTAATATTGCATAATACCCTTTGCTTTGTTTACATTTACACTGCTTGTACCATAATACCAGACACATTTGTGACATTTATTTCTGCTGAAGTTTCATGCATGTGAGAATGCCTCATTTCACAGGGCAACCTACAATTCTAATGTCAAAGGTCAAAGGTCAATATGAAAAAATACATGAATGTTGCATACTTCTTTGCTTTGTCTATATTTACACTACTTGTACCGTAAAACCAGACACCTTCATGCCATCATAGTTTTGCTTAAGTTCCATGAATGTGAAAGTTCCTCATTTCACAGTTTAACTTACAATTCTAATGATCATAGTATGGCATCAAATTGTAGATTGACTTCATTGATCAATTGTAAATTATTCTTAGAAAGAAGTCAAGAACTGCTATTATTTTATGTACAACTGCATCTAGGTGTATATACACGCATAGCAAGTCACATCCACCTATATTTCACAATTTTTTTTCAAATGATGTTATCATCATGTCGAAGAATATATGATGTCATCTTGAGCTAGCAGTAATGTTTTACTTTAATAGACCTGTAACACCATTAATTCCCCTATCAAATATTCCTAAAGCAAAACTACAAACAAGAAACTACTTTTGTCCTCCCTCAAAATCCAATAAATAAGTGCTAATTAAAAGAGGTATTTGAAAAGGCAACTGTCAAGTCCTTTGACTCTAGTTAAACCATGAAATCTTTTAAAAAACAGTCTAATAGCATCATCAGACTACTTCTGAATTTAATCACCGTCCACAAAAATGAGGCTATAAAAGATTACAAGTACAAGGTCATAAATCCAAGTCCGCCGCCGCCGCTCTAAGAAGTTATACCAGGGTGATGTTACAAATCCCTGCCTTCATTACTACAAGTATGCATTACTCTAAAGAGCAATAAAGTAATAAGAGTCGTTAAGAAACCACAAGTTACACATTCGTCGAGCAGAAGATTTTCAGCATCTGAAGTGGTATATTAATGAGAGGAATCTAAATTTGCAGATCATAACACCTGCCCACCTAATACAAAATGTCTCTGCTTTCCTGAATAATGTAAATACTGATGAGACATTATAAAGTGCACTTCAAGACAGCTTCTTCAAAATACGTAGAGATGGAATACAGAGCAAAATTTATTCAATTTATTAAATGGCCGTTTTAATATGAATGATTACAGATTTATTCTAGTTAAAGGTTATTTTCTTGGAAGTAAAAACTATTTTCCTACTAGAGGAAGATAAGCATATATAATTGAACTTTTATGACAATCCTTTTCTTGGATAAGCGAATACTTTGCCATATAGAGACAAAGAGAGAAGATAAACAATTACCTCCACTTTCTTGTCGCTACTGACAGGGAAGACAGAGATTCTCTCTGAACCAAGCCACTTCCTGAACTCACGACACCAGTTCTGAAAAGAAAGAAAAAATGAAAGAACAGATATTATATAACAGGAAAATTATGGAAGAATAGCAACCAAAACAGACATACTAAAGCTTTTCGTCTTCTACTCATTAGAGTAAATTGCAAGAATGAACAGAAAGCCAAAATCAGACAATATAAGTGGAAGCTAAAGGGATAAGGCAAGCGCTTATATTGTCTGAGCTTGGCTTTCTGTTCATTCTTGCTACCGTTATTTAAAAGGCTTTAGTATGTCTGTTTTTATCGCTATTCTTTGATTTTGAAGTACCAATCATCTCTTTATATCAAAACATAACATATTTGTGACATTGTTTCCACTTGAAACTGCAGGATGGTTTCCATTTCAACATTTAAATCATATCATTTTATAAAATTAGATTATTTGTTTTGATTTTGGTTTTAACTATGATATTCAATCGCTCATAACAAGTTAGGTGCCCGAAAAACCTTTTCAATTTTTCCCCCTTGGGCCAACCTCAGATTTTGTTTGCCTACACAGAGTATGTCTTTGTATGTGTTTATGTCATGAGCCTTTTATTATATACTTTACTGGAGTTGAATTAAGTAAAATGAATTGAATAGAAATAAATCTAACTGAATAGAATATAACTCAAACAGAATATATACCTTAACCAGACTGCCTGGTGTTACAATCAAAACTCTCTTGATGATTGGTTTGCCTCCATAAGGGCCTTGCTTGAACAAAGTCCTATAAACCAAAATATGCATATTAAATTTAATAAAGCACTGTTCTTTGTTAAAGGTAAAGACCAGTATTGGAAACGCCCCAATTTCAAAAAATGAAATGGAAGCTCTCATTACCAATCATGTGAAAGAATATGTTTTGACTAATACATGATGATAAAAAATTTGCCGGGAAACCGCCTACTAATGCATATATTTGGTGAATTTGTTTCTCTCATGGTCTGTGAGAGATATAGGGTAGTCCCATATACATCTTTCTGTGTATAGTGCTTGTAACTTTACGAAAAATGGGCCAAATTTCTTATCATTTTGATGATTCCAGAACCTTGCAGATGCTAGATGCTAGATGATCAACCTTTTCTGATCGATTCCACAACGTTTCTTTCACAATGCAATCGCATGACCATAACTGGTCTTTACCTTTAATGAAAGTGTGCTACTGGAACATACACTTAGTAATTTTTCATAATGCATAATGGTAGATTATTTTTCATGATTAGCCCTTTAAATATGATTTGATCGTGGTATAAAATGCATTTTCCATTTACCTTATCGCAAGTTACCTCAGGTTTTGTATTTGTCATGTTAACCATTTAAATCAGGATTTCTATTGCTCTTTGTTTGAAATGGAGCAGTAATCTTTAGCAAACTTATTTCATGGACTTATATTGTATTTTGAAAAATCTGATAAGGCATGAATGCAATCCTAATCTCATTTACTAAACATCCTTTCAATATAAATTGTATCACTACTCAATAAAAGCAACTTTCTAGAAAAGTCAAATTTTTAAATTTCTTTAAATTTGCTTTGAATTGCTATAAATATTTATGTAATCAGAAAGAAAGGTATGATGTGATCTATGAAGCTATATGTATGCTAATAACTTACCATACAAGAGTTATGCATTGCAGTGTCTTACCAAGACCCATCTCATCTCTGGAGGAAAAAATAGTGGGGTGAAAACTTTAGGCAAATTCATACACTTTCAATGCTTTTTTCTTCTCCCTGCAATAGTCTAAGCTTACAACAAAAAGGGGAACAACACACAAATGAATATTATCTGAGCTAAAAAGGAAAGAATGGATAATGTTGAGAGAATCTAACAACAGTTTGTGCAAGGAAGAAGATAAATAGAAAAAGACATCATAAAAATAAAAACAAGAAGCAATAAAAAACACAAAGGGGAAAAAGAGGAATAATGAGATCAGACTATTCCTTATCTTACAAATCAATACATGAAGAATTATTCATAGAAGACATAAAGGAAGTGAATTCGCTAATTTCAGCAATTTTTTTAAAAGATGTATACTCTTGTCTATACTTGTATATTTTATAAACGATTTGAAAAAGAAAAAGCAATTTTAGTCAAAATCAAAACACTGGAAAGTTCATTACAGCAATTGCTAAATATAAACTTGGTGGCACACAGGGGGTTAAGGATACAGAAGTGCACATGTAAATTAACTTACGCTAGAATGGCTCCACATCCTTCATACTGCCTCAATCCCATAATGCACTCGTACAGGAAGATAACCCCCTTCTGTTGATGAGGCCTGAGCTTGGACACCAGGTGAGGATCGACCACCACGTCGACGATGGAATCGTTTCGTTGGTTGTTCTGCCATTGATGGGAGGATGGTGGGCGTGGCATCACCAGTGCGTCTGGATGGGTGGGGTCATAGAGGGGCTTTGCTGCTCTTGGTTGGACCACCTGATAAAAGAAGGGAACAACTGAAAACGTAAATGTTTATCTAAAATGTGACTTTCACGACCTGTAGATTATCTGTTAAAGGTAATACAAAGTTTTGGTATGGGGTCATTAATTTGGTTCAAATGAACATATTGGAAGCATATGAGGTTGAAATCGAGTCTAAAGTTAGGAAAATATAAATAATTAACGCTTTATGCTGTATAACTCCCTCTCAATGTCAAGATATTAATTAAGCTATAAAACAATGTTTCTTTACTAAAATCGACCGACTAGCTATTCCTGTTTGGAAATTATATATCACATCTACATATTCTGAGATGTTCATGGTTGCAGCTACCATTGTACGGCCGTATGGGCGCTATTTGAAATTTATCAAAATTTACTGGGAGCACCGGTAAATTTGTATATTCAATTTTTCTCGAAAGCAGAAGTGTTTTAGAGGCTAAGTTTTCTAGTGCTTCAATACATCCACAGGGGCATCCAAATATATCAAAATTGTAAAGAATCACTATCCACTCAATTTTAGAAATTTCCCAAAACTTTGTATTACCTTTAAGCTTCGTTTTATGTAACATGCATACTCATTGTCATTGTCGGAAAGGAGAGTTTATAAATTCGTATTTTATCATTATTATTATACTAAGATATATGTTTTATATCATTTGTTGAGAGCCAGAAGGGTATTAACTGATATCTTTAAACACAGATTTAATGCTCTTCTTGCTCTGAACAGGTGAATTATGTTCAACCGAGTCAAAAGCTCACCTCACTTCCGTATGCAGTAGAAAAGCATGTTGCTTTCACCAACCTATCTTGAAAAAGAAATATGCAATTGAACTGAATGCCTATATGTTATTTGGGAAAATATTAGGAATCCCTCTATTTGAAGTTCAGCTGTGGTAAAAGAACAATTTGAACATCCTTTATTTTATTGATATTATCATAACTTGAGGAATAATTTCAACACATGTTTGTAAAAAGTCAATTACATGCAGTCAAACCTGCACACCAAAATCACCCAGGAAGGAAAGTTGTCTTTATAGGCAGTTGATTGCTAAATCAGTTTTCTCTGTCATATCTTTTCTACTATCCATGCACTCACTTTTGTTTGTAGAGCGGTGGAACCATCAGCCCCTGTCTTCTGTGGGTTAGCGAATGGTTTGGGAGGTCTTGGTGCTCTGGAAGGAGGAACCGCAAGGGATGCGGAGGCACCGATGGTAGAGGATGACCCTGTCTGGAAACACTTCCCTGTGGTCCAGTCGTCTTCCGATATGCTTCCCATTACCTAGAGTAATGAAAGAGAAGATATCTTTGATTTTGTTTTTAAATTTGTTTTGATCAATAATAGTTTATGTGGTCTGTACTGATTATCATCAAGTGTTTAGTAGACACCTTTAGTCAAGGAGGAGGAGGAGGAGGAGGAGGAGGAGGAGGAGGAGGAGGAGGATCACTTTTTGTCAACGAAAACACTTCCCCATAGTCCAATCACAATGAAGAAATAATTAGTTCACCTTTATCATTGTTCATCAATTACTATCATTTTCATACTGAAATCTTTTTAACAATCAATTGTGTGGGAGACATCTATAGTGGAGGAGGATGATGATGACCCATCTGGAAATGATTCCATGTGGTCCAGTCCTCTTCCGATATGCTCTCCATCACCCAGAGTAGTGACAGAGAAGAATGATGGCATCTCGGCAATTACATGAGAAGCTTGACATATGTCTGTAATCCATTTATTTCATCTAATATGAACATCCTTTGATATGGCTACTGACTATTGGGTGTTTCTTTTTCCATTTTCGGATGAAATAAATGATATGTATGTATCACATTGGACACAGAAATGTCCATCTTTATCAGTTATAGTCATTTGTATGAATTGACTCTGCAATTGTTAGTATCATAGGATATTTGGTAAACGCAAATACTGGAGGCAGTGGATGACAGTGGATAGAAACAGCTCTCCAGTGTGATTATCTTCATCACCTTGAAGCAGCACTTAACTGGAAGAAGAAGAAGAATATGACCTCATTACCCACAGAAAAGGCTTGTTCAGATATGAAGAGGTCATAACTGCAGCATTTTTTAATTTAAAACATGGGAATAAAAGGCAATTAACTGCGCAACAAAGGTCATACACTCACTGAGCTAGCTGTGTCAGATGCAGAAATGTGAGACAAATTACGCTTACATCATCATTTTGATTTTGTTTAAATGCCATGGAACACCACTTCACATCTGAAGGAGGTTTAAATTAAGGCAATTAGCGATACGAGAAGCTGTCACGGCATTTTAATCACTACATGAAATTCTGCCAAATCAATATCTTAGTAAGATGTAAAATAGCCAAGTTATAAGTTAAAGTAGAGGAAATCATACAGAGGAGATTGGGACAACCAGGAAATTATTAGCAGGCTTTCATAATAATTCAAATTTGTTGTCGGTATAAACAATGAATTTTTCTGTGTGAACAAATAACACACTCTCATCTGGCAGCTGCAATGCATTCTCACATTTCTAAGTGATTCCAATCCCATAATTCTTAGGATTCATCACGATTGAGATGAGACTTAATGCTCCCTCCCATCTCACCTGTCCCTTCTCATTTCCTATCTCTCAACCTCATCAATTATATGATGGAGTCTTACAGCTCGCTCACATATGACCCAGATTTCTTTTTGTAATAATACTAGCGTAAAATGTTTCATATTGCTATGCTTACAACACACATATTGTGAGTACAAATTAAAGGTCTTTCTTGCTCGGATATACTTTTTTTCATCCCCATTTGCCATTTGTTACAAAGTAAAAAACTAACAGACAAACAAAAAACAATGCTGTGATAGATTGCCATGGTTTGTATTAGGTTCATGGTTTGCCTGACTCATATGTGAATGAACCCTTGAAGATTCTATCTGCACATGATCCCCAGAGAGAAGAGAATGTGGGGTGGCAGAGCATGCATGCATGGGTCCAGCAACACCAGCTTGTGAGAGGGACTGGTATCATGGGGCATGGATTTAATAGCTAAATGGATGAAGTGTGTGAGAGGATAAGGCAATCGGAGAAGGAGAGAGTGTGGATGCATGGCTGTATTTTCTTTTTTTTTCACCAGTCGATTGGATTTGGATCAAGTTCTCTCTCTCTCTCTCTCTCTCCCCACATCTCAATCTCCCAGTCTTCCCCTCCCACTCTCTCCCCCTCTCACCTCCTCTCTGCCCCCTCATCTAGAGCTCTCCGTCTCTCCCCCCCCCCTCTCTCTCTCTCTCTCTCTCACCCTCTTTTTCTCTTTCTATATCTCTCTCTCCCACTCACTCCTCTGTCAATGAATGTATCACTCTCTCACTCCCCCCTCTCTCTCTTTCTCTCTCAAGGAATAGACTACACCTTCAGAAAATAAACCAATATTCATAGAAACCATATACATCCATCCATCTGGTCTGATGTAAGCTATCTATACCAATTATTCTACTTCGTGACAATTTTGTTTACATCCAGAATGGTTGAAGTATGGACCCTTCGTTGAGGGCAGCCACTAGGATCAATGGGTTCAGGGAGAGGAAGAGCAATTGGGTGGAATAGGAGAAGAGAAAAGAGAACACGAAGATGGGAGAAAGGAGAAAAGAGAAAGGAGGAAGTGAAGAAATGAGATGAGGAGAACATCAAAAACAAAAAAACAAGGGGGAAATGGTGATGAGGGGATTAAAATACATGGAACAAAAGAAGAAAGAGAAGAAGAGAAAATTGGATAACTAAAATGTAGATTGGAGGAAAATTAATCAGTATATAATTGTATATACCAAAATCATTAAAGATTTTGATTAACGATATGGAGTGTTTGGAAATGAAAGAGAATGCTTAAGAATGAGAGAGAGAGAAAGAGAGAGAGAGAGAGAGAGAGAGAGAGAGTGGGGGGAGAGAGAGAGAGAGAGAGAGGGGAGGGGGGGGGGGGGGAGAGAGAGAGAGAGAAGGGGGAGGGGCTGGGGAGGGGGTTCCCATTTGCCTCCCTTTCAATAGAGTCATACTTAAGTAATATTGACTGCCTTCTGGGCAATACGACATATATCGCCCGAACCGAAGGTGAGGGTGATATATGACAAGTCGTATTGCCCTGAATTAGGCAGTCAATATTACTATTATTAACCACATCAGACATCTAGAGCAAACAAGAAACTCTTACTATCTTATACTCTTAAATTATGTAGGCTACACAGGGTTTCCTAGCATTAGAAGTTGCAAAAACATTGTCAAACCAGCACTGTTCATCCAGTGTTTGACAGATTTTCGATACACTGCAAACAGTTTGCCTAGGGTGTGATTGTTATGTCACAATGGAGTTCGCGCAAAGTGCGCATTTTCTAATACACGATGCGCGATGTAAATTACAATAGCTGATGCGCGATGTAAATTACAACTGGCACTACATTATTGCGCACTAGTTTAACACGCATTTTGCCATTGACTTTTCAGAGCGGGCTAAAATATTTGTCCATTGACTTACTGTATAACCTATATTGCCCGCCAAATTACACACAAATCCCATTGACTCTTCTGAGCGGGGTAAAATATTTGCGCATTGGTTTTCTATATAACCTATATTGCCCGCCAAATTACACACAAAATCCCATTGACTTTTCTGCGCGGACTAACTTATTGTAATTTTGGTGACTTATCCATCAAAACCTTGAGGGCAATACCATTTCAAAATTGCCCTGCTCAGATGTCTGATACGGTTAATAATGTACTTTACACTGCATCTTCAATACCTTGCTGGTTTAGTGTAGGGAGGGGTAGGGAGGGGTAGGATGGGGATCCCTTGCCCCCTTTTCAAGAAAGGTACATGCATAGCATTTGCTTAGACCATGGACCTAATATGCTTAGACTCCACCACTCCACCAATATTAAAGAGAAGGTTTGAGTTCTGGGAAGAGGTGAAAAATAATTTGTGAGCGTTATCATTCTTATTATGCAAGTGTGGAAGAACATCAGATAAGACATCTTCCCTGAAAAGCATGGCTCTTCAGATGCCTTCATAATCTAAATATGTCATGTTACATCGTAAAAATCCAGGGTAGGATTTTTACGCCACGTGTTCGTGTCGTCCCATATACATCTTTCTGTGTACAGTGTTTGTAACTTTACCAAGACTTGGCCAAATTTCTTATCATTTTGATGATTCCAGAACCTTGCAATACACACAAATTCTTATATGCTAGATGATCAACCTTTTCTGGTCGATTCCACACCGTTTCTTTCACAATGCAATCGCATGACCAGAACTCAACTTCATCTTTAAGTGGACATGTCTGTCTCTTATCATATTACATGGTGCCAATTTATTTCAGTTATATACTTCATGCCATCCACATTATCTCTATAGCGGTCAGCATATATCTAGCTGATTTATTGTAGGGAGGGACTGGGGAGCCTCTTGCCTCCTTTCAGGTACATACATGAATGATTAACAGTTTTGATGCATGATGTTGTTTAGACTGGTCTTCACTAACCCTAAGTGGCCTGTTTACCTGTTATCATATTAGATGGTGCCAACCAGTTATAAGTCATATTTCATTTCAGAATATTGCTATGGTGGCCAGAGTCTCAATGATTTAGTGTCTCACTCTACATATGGAAGACCCCATGCATGAACAGTTATGTTTTGAAAATACAGCTGAATGGCATGGGCTATTCTCTATATTTGTGTTCTTGAATATCTTTTGTCACATATTACACATTTTACACATTAGTGATTTACACACATAAAACAAAGATTAAGGGTCTGGTTTTAGAAGGTGCAAATGTTGCTTAAGATTAACATTATGATCCTGGTCACAATTTGGACATACTCCCCAGGGAGTGGTGATGGTGCAAATTGTGCCTGAATGAATCTAATGACCATAATAATAATATCTGTTAAGCACTTAGACTTAGAGACAGGATTTTGTATTAAGCGCTATATAAATCCAGATTCTTATTATTATACAAAAGCTATATCTTCACGAAAAGCTACTAGTTATCCAATTTGTACATTATATGCTTCAATGATGACATCATTACAGAATTAATAAGCAATGGAAACCAAATTGAATCAATGAGGCAACCATATGATCTGAATAATTAATCTCTATACATTCCATTTCTAAGCACTCCACTCTTGATGAAAATCTTTCAGAAGCAGTTCTATTTTGTGAATATCTAAATCTTCAACTATATATTAATTGAACAAACTGTATACTTCTTGCCACTTATCAACTAGACAAGTACGAGATGGAGGAAATTTCTTCTACCCATCTTCTCGCTCTACCTACCAACTATATTTACATAAAAATTACCTGTTTCTTTCTGTACGTCTTTTGAATTGTATATTCTCCTCCACCCAATCTCTCTCTCTCTCTTCCTCTCTCTCTCTCTCCCTGTGTGTCGCTTCCCTCTCTCTCTCTCTCTCTCTTTCTCCCTGTGTGTCGCTTCCCTCTCTCTCTCTCTCTCTCTCTCTCTCTCTCTCTCTCTCTCTCTCCTGTGTGTCGCTTCCCTCTGTCTCTCTCTATCTCTCCCTATCTCTTTTAATTTCTTCAGCTATATACTCTGTCTATCTGGCCAGCATGAATTCTACTTCAATTTCGTAATTGTGGGCTCTTTTATTATTTGTTTAAATCAGAAATGTTGAGATTTTTGTGAGAGTGGTATTTCCCCTGGGGCTCTTTCATTTTTCAGAGCTGTATCACTTTCAAGTGCTCTATCTCCCTTTCTACATATACATGCTCTATCTATCTATCTATATCTAGGCATGCAGTGTGAGTTCTATACTTGAAAGCTCTTTTACAAGAAATTTGATATTTTCTTGGGAGTAATATTAAAATTTCCATAGCTTTTCCAACTTTCCACACCCATGAAAATTTCTCCCAGTGTCTGTCCCTCTTTTGCTCTCTGCTCATAACACTTTCCTCCTATCTGTCTTTATGTACACTGCCATGAGCACATAGAAATTAATACTTATATGCAAACATCTTCTAATTGCTTTCTACTCCATGTATCTTTTCTTAAGTTAACTATAATTAAGTGTCCCCCTTCTCTCCCCCCCCCCTTCTCTCTCTCTCTCTCTCTCTTTTCTGTCTCTTTTTCTCTCTCAATACTTTCCTTTCCTCCTTTAATATGTACAGTGGCAGAAGCACACAGAAAATGGATACCTAAATGTACACATGCATCCCCGGCCCTCATCTCCTGGTGAAACTCAATATTCCACCATCATTCTGTTCAGAAACAGAAGGGTGTTTCCTTTCTGCTAATGTACATGAATGAATGTCCTTTTGGCTCTGAACAGACCATGTCTACACGCACTACAGGGAAAGCCAGTAATAACCATTACCTCAATATGTTCTACGACTAATTCGCACAAACAACAAAAATACACATGGTATATGAAGAAGCTTGAAACTCCTTGGTATGGAACACGGATGCCATAAACTTCTAATCTACGGTTGTCTTAATTACAGTCAATAAATGGTATCCATGTGCGCCACACAATGCAAATCAGATGGCCGGGCGTCTTGCTTTTATGAACTTTGGACAGAGTAGCTAGGCTCAGACAAATTATAACTGCCAAGGAATTCTTTCATCAAAGTCTGATTTATAGAGTGACATGAAAGGGTGTCAGAGCGGAAGGTGGGTGAACTGAAGAGGGGATAGGTTTTCACAGAAGAGGATTTAGTAAAGACAGGAAAACCAGAAGGAATGAATTTAAAAAAAAATTGTAAACATAGACCTGTGAAAAGGAGATTAAAAGCCCCAAATAATCAGAAAAAATGCATAGAAAATCTGAAGTAAAAGTGAAAGAAAGAAAATATGAGAAATTGTGGAATGAAATGAAATACAGCAAGAAATTGCAATGCAATTGCAAAGAGTTATTGAGAGAAAGAGGACAACATGAATAGAATAGAAAACAATGGAAGAAAATTTTGTTTAAAATATATATATATATATATATATATATATACAAAGAGAGAGAGAGAGAGAGAGAGAGAGAGAGAGAGAGAGAGAGAGAGCGAGAGAGTCAAGATAGATACATGGAGAGTGAGAGAGAGTAAGAGAGAAAGAGAGCAAGAAAGCTAATAAGAGAGAAGGAGAGTGAGAGAGAGAGAGGGAGAGATAGGGAGATGAGTAAAGAGTGAGAGACAGAGATGATAATAGATGGATTTAAATAATAGATGCAGACATCCAGTGAGAGAGAACAAATCAATTAGAAACAGATAGAGACAAAAAGAAAGAGAAAAAGAGATACACACACACACACAAACATACAGGGGGAAAAGCTCTGTCTCCGGATACCAAACACACTTTAATTATAATAGGAACCACACAAACCAGCCGGAGCTGGATGCATTTAGCAAACAAAATTACACGTTAATCACTTCATCGTGGTGAAGAGGGGTCTTCATATGTACAGTTCCCCCCTCTCCAAGATAGGGATCTGAAACCCATCAATTCAATCGGGTGCACAGCGGCGACGAACAGCTAGGCAGAGGAGCAAAGGGTGTACGGTTGAATGTCAACATCAACATAGTACATTGAAGCTGACACTATTAGTCCAGAGCCTGTAACTATACCCTAGCTCTGCCTGCCCAGGAGACGACAGTTGACCCTCCACCACTCTCCAGTGGACCCTTGCTCATCTCCGGTAGAACAACATTAATAGAACAACATTTTTGGCCCTTTCACATTGGGGAAACTTTATGTTGCATTGAATACCTGCACTACATGATTTTACTAGTTGTGAATGGGGCACTGTGAAATGATATTGGAGGCTTAATAGGGCTATATATGCAGCTTGGCTTCATTTCTGAGGAAGGTATAATTGCAATACGGTACATCACACAGGATTGCCATCTCTGGATAGCTGGTAACTTTCAAGCAAAGTGATTATAATTCAGTGAATCCAGAGGAAAGGGATTTTGCCTTAATATATTGAGGGGCTTCTTTTCATTTTGACTTTGTAAAGTGCGAGAACTGTATGATCCTCCTTCTGTGATGGTGAAATAACAGGAAAATATCTCTGCCCCAAAAACCTTTTCCTCTTACAACAGTATATCTTTTCAAAATGAACGAATTTTTGTTCACTTTTCGTCAAAATGTCATCAAACTGATTCCTTGATTTTTCGTTCACATCTCCACACACTACCACCCACATTTCTAACTTATCCTCATTAAACTGTGTTAACGAAGATAAATTTATCTTCATTTAACAGCTAAACGAAGATAAATTTATCTTCATTTAACAGCTAAACGAAGATAAATTTATCTTCATTTAACAGCTAAACGAAGATAAATTTATCTTCATTTAACAGCTAAACGAAGATAAATTTATCCTCATTTAACAGCTAAACGAAGATAAATTTATCTTCATTTCACAGCTAAACGAAGATAAATTTATCCTCATTTAACAGCTAAACGAAGATAAATTTATCCTCATTTAACAGCTAAACGAAGATAAATTTATCTTCATTTAACAGCTAAACGAAGATAAATTTATCTTCATTTAACAGCTTTAGCTGTTAAATGAACGAAGATAAATTTATCTTCATTTAACAGCTTTAGCTGTTAAATGAGGATAAATTTATCTTCGTTTAGCTGTTAAATGAAGATAAATTTATCTTCGTTTAGCTGTTAAATGAGGATAAATTTATCTTCGTTTAGCTGTTAAATGAGGATAAATTTATCTTCGTTTAGCTGTTAAATGAAGATAAATTTATCTTCGTTTAGCTGTTAAATGAGGATAAATTTATCTTCGTTTAGCTGTTAAATGAAGATAAATTTATCTTCGTTTAGCTGTTAAATGAAGATAAATTTATCTTCGTTTAGCTGGTAAATGAAGATAAATTTATCTTCGTTTAGCTGTTAAATGAGGATAAATTTATCTTCGTTTAGCTGTTAAATGAAGATAAATTTATCTTCGTTTAGCTGTTAAATGAAGATAAATTTATCTTCGTTTAGCTGTTAAATGAAGATAAATTTATCTTCGTTTAGCTGTTAAATGAAGATAAATTTATCTTCGTTTAGCTGTTAAATGAAGATAAATTTATCTTCGTTTAGCTGTTAAATGAAGATAAATTTATCTTCGTTAACACAGTTTAATGAGGATAAGTTAGAAATGTCGGTGGTAGTGTGTGGAGATGTGAAAGAAAAATCAAGGAATCAGTTTGATTACATTTTGACGAAAAGTGAACAAAAATTCGTTCATTTTGAAAAGATATACTGTTTTACATGGATATACTGAAACACACATCACGGCTGACTACAGGAATGTTCACACAGGTATAGAATAACAAGAATTAAGCCACTGCTTCCAGGAACCAGGACGTTCCAGTACTAAGCCTATGGGAATGAGACCATTCAGCAGTCAACGGGTTAAAGCATCCTTTCACACCCCTATAGATCTCTCATGTGAACAGATCCTGGTGCATGCTAGCATCACGACGGGTTAATGCAACCTTTCACACCTCTATAGCTCTCGTGTGAACAGATCGCGGTGCATGCTAGCATCACTAGGGGGCTGGGATGCAAGCGAGCGGGCGGGGGCATCGTAATGAGGGATGATGGATGCAGAGGAAGCAGTCAAGTATGGTTACGTGACATGTTTGTCACTCTAGTATTAACATGATTTCAATGTGTTAATGAGATAAAAGACATACAAGTGATATATTTTTTTCTACCAATCAGGACACAATATTTAGAGTGCTACTTTGTTTTCCAATGAATATCTACGCGGATAATCATATCAAAGGATTTCACAGTGAGATGTTATTTGTTAGAGAGGAATTATCATCAACATTTGCGGTAGGTACGTATTTCTATTTATTTACCGTACCTGTATATTGCATGACAATTTTTTAATTACAATGAATATTTATAAAATTACATTACAATGTGAGATTTTACTACAGTATACTTTTGGAGAACTGTTTCCTGTATTAAACATTATGAAAGTTTTCATACGAGAAATACATTCTGACCAGAATTTGCTATGACAATATATAAAAATTGACACATTTAAATGTTTGCTGAATTGCCTTTTTATAATCTTATCTGTATAATTTACATACATGCAGATCAGAAGAAACTATCATTTTGTGAGAGGTGAAGGGGATGCTGTTTAAAATAACTATAGATCATAATTACAATTAATAAAATCAATGATGAATAAAAGAAATAATAGTGATTTCATAATCAGTTTTGTTGAGTATATTACTACGCTCTATACAATACATAGCCCCTGCATACAATTCTTAATCATTACTCTTCATTGTCATTTGTGAAACGATATAGGGGGCAATTCAGCAAGCATCCTGGTATTCCTGGGGGGTGTTTCACAAAGATCCTAAGTAGAACTTAACTCTAAGTTGGACTTAAAAATTATGGACAGCCATTGGAGTCTTTAAATGAAATATATTCAAAAGCAGAAATTCAAGTATTTTAGACTTTTTATTAATTCCACATCCAGAACATGAAATCTCCTTGATGATAGAAAATATGAATGATTTCAATAAACAATGAATGCCTTTCAAAATAACTTTTACAAAATATTTTCAAAGATGCTAATGGCTTTCCATATTTTTTAAGTCCAACTTAGAGATAAGTTCAACTTAGGATCTTTGTGAACCACCCCCCTGGTGACTTGCAGACCAAGCTATCGCTATCAAATAGCATGTTTGCTCATGTCTAGCAATGTCAGACTAATTGAGTACCGGTACTGGTAATTAAGATGAGCATTCTTACACTACAACCTTTGATCAATACATATGCAGCGCTATGTATTGTAGGTTTAGTTTATATTTGTCAAAGTCTTCTGTGTCTGCAGTTCTGCACTGATCATTCTGTTTCCATTGCACATCTCTGGCTATGGTAACTTAAAGGAAATAACATGAATATATCTTTAAGTGCTTATAGAGGACCTCTCCTTTAAAAAAAACAACCTTGTTTTCAGACATATCCATTGGAATTGCATGTATAAAAATGCAGGGGTGGGAGCAGGGGGAAGGGGAGGGGCAGTACCTATCCATAAATGTATGCAACATTTCAAAATGCATCAGTATAGTAACAGGGTTGTGGGAAATTGAGACATTATGAACAGATTCCTAAAGGCCATTTTAAATTAAAAGCTTTTTCTAAAGGATGTTTACTCATGACTGGCAATTTGTCAGACTAGTTGAGTAATTAAATTGAAATGCCATTAACATTGGATAATTAACCTTTGAACTTTTTCAATAAAATGAATGGTCTTAAAGCCAGCTAATAGCTCTCTTTAATCTTCATCACTTGAATATCCTTGAGAAATCAATTACATGTAGTGCTGTAACATCACGGATATCTCCAATTCTGTTTAACCGCCAGTCAAAACTGGACGGTTTTCGGTTAAACGATTTATTAAAAAAAAACTAAAAAAAAACATTTTTTTTTTTTTTTTTTTTTTTTGGCCGTGTGAAAAAGCGGGAAGGACTGCGAGGTAATTTAACTGAAGGCGCCGATTTGAGCTTGTGAACTAGTCACAAATAATAGTAACAATGTCGTTTTAGAATAATGTGTACGATCATTCATGTAAATTAAAAACAGTAGAGGACCTAACTTCGATGAATATATATTGAGATCTATTACAAAGATCACTTTCAAACCAAGATGACAGACAAATTGGAGTGTTGTTCTAGTTTCCAAGTGGTAAGTCATCTCACCGATTACTGAGCTGGGAGACATTGCCAGGCATAGTGCCAGGTGGAGGGGCATAAATTGAAACTTTACAAGGAAAAAAAAAAAAAAAAAAAAAAAAAAATATTAAAAAAAAAAAGGGAAAACAAAACCGTCCAATTGAAAACGGAATCCGCCATGGGCGGTCGGATACTGGACGGTTAAACGTTTGACTACAGCACTAATTACATGTACCTTGGAATACTCCTTTAAAATGTAATTACTTGACTATCTATAATAATGTTTTAATTATCTCTAGTTAAAAGTTAAAGATCAGTTCTGGTCATGCATTTGCATTGTGAAAGAAACATTGTGGAATCGATCAGAAAAGGTTGATCATCTAGTATATAAGTATCGGTGTGTACTGCAAGGTTCCGGAATCATCAAAATGATAAGAAATTTGGCCCAGTCTTGGTAAAATTACAAGCACTGCCATAGAAAGATGTATATCGGACTACGCGACACGAGCGCGATGTCTATCAGGTCCAAATAGAAATAATAATTTTACCAAATATATCAATTAGTAGGCGGTTTCCCGGCAAAATTTGTATCATCATGTACTAGTCAAAACATATTCTTTCACATGATTGGTAATAAGAGCTTCCATTTCAATTTTTTGAGAGGGGGGGGGGCATTTCCAAAACTTGTCTTTACCTTTAAGCAAAGGTTTAAACTTATACACATCAAATGGAGGGGGAAATGGGTGACAAATCCCACCTAAGATTACAAGTATTAATTAAATGTTTGAACAAAGAAGGTGTACCAGAACCAGAAAGGTTTACTTTATTATGGAGTTTATATCCTAGGAAAATATTTATGCCAAATTTATCAATGAAACTGTACGTTTATCACACAATTTGTTGTCTCTTAAATGTTTAATTAATGATGACACATGTTTTTAAACAAAATTGTGACTCAAAGGTCTACTCAAAGGAATATAAAAAGAGATAGAACCAAGGAGGGTAGACCAGAAAAACCACCTAATTTTATTTTATTGAAGAAGGACATCACAAAATGCAATAAATAAAGACTTTATCTTGCACGGACTCGCTAAAAAGTTCATAAGAGCTCAACTAGATTTTATAGCATTTTGACAGGCAGACATTCCATGAAGATCAATCATAGAGGTTTATTATTTGCTCAAAGAGATAATCAGTGAATTTCTTGGGAAATCCTTTTATGCCACTTCAAATTGTCTGTACAAAGTTTTAACACATTATTACATTTCCAACATGCATTCATTTTGAACCATTCTTTCGACTGTAATCAAAATTCAAAACCTTTTCCGTGGATCAGGGATGTCATATACTCTGCAATGGGTTCACAGTAGAAGAGGATTTATATGTTGTTATCGATTTTACCTCAACATTTTAACAAGTAAAAGTAGGTTACTGAAAATTCTTGCTTCATATTTTGGATGTGTCTGAATAAAAAAAATGGACTAACAGCTTTGAGTCCAATCTGAGGGATTAGATTATCGGTAAAATACTTCCTTAACCAAAGGCACAAGGCATCAACATGGGTCAGAACCCAGAATCTGCAATTTTTCACACCCCTGATCTAAACCACTGAACTGAGATACAGATGAGTGATTCAGCAGAAACTTTTCGAGGTTGGATTTTTATTACTTCACACTTGGAGTATAAATTCTTGGTGAATTGAATAATGCTGGTTTATATGTCAATAACTTATTCACTGATGTATACAGATTGGAGAGCAACGTACAACCCAAGCCTTTCCAGTGGAATACTCAGTCTGAAAACTTCTATTGGATAGAAAGCAGAAGAATCGATCTCCTGGAATAGCACTCTTGTATCAGGACCACAATGAAATTTGAATTACTGAATATCGCTACTTTGCAGATATAACATGTTAAATGTAAGTATGATTTGAAACGATTCTATTTACGTTTTAACTATTAAATAACTTTATTAAAAGGTGTCTATTCCATTCAAATTTTTCCCCTCTTTCCTTTTAGATAAATATATGCTAACATAATTCCTATAGAGAATATCTATCACTCTCTTTCTATGAAGACAAGTTTGACTATCTTGTGAATTAAGCTCTTTTGAAAAGAAGTCTTATCTTAAAATACATGAAAGGAAACCCGAATACAATCTGATAATTGAATTTAGCTTCAGATGATCAAACAACGTTGAAGTTTGTTAAAGGTATAATATCATTGTTTCAATTGACTAGAATGTCATGTCCTGTTTGTTGATGAATTGTAGAATGTAAGTTGTGCAGTAATATAATCATGGAAGAAATCATAACAATTAGACAAACCGTAAATGAGTATTTGTGTCATGATATCATTTGATTATAAACCTATAGTGGCAAGGTACTGGTTTCTATAAATGATAAATCATAACTATTTTTTCTTTCATCTCTGTCCTAGCCTTCTTTAAAGGATCCGATACCTCGTAATGCATGAGGTCCAGAGCATCATGAACATCACTCCAGGAATGTCAACAGTGGGAGGAGACGGTCTCTTAACCACCGCTCCGAATCATCCATCAGCTTATCCCAACCAAACACACAGTATCATCATAGCAACCCTCTTCATCCTCGTCGGCACGGTCGGGATGATCGGTAACTGTCTGGTTCTCATCGCTGTTCTACTGTCAAAGAAGCTACAGACCGCCACCAACGCTTTCGTCGTCAACCTCAGTATATCCGACTTTCTGACTTGCTTCGTACTGCCATTCCAGGCGTCAGGGCTTTTCAGTGACAGGGGATGGCTGTTGTCCAGTGACATGTGTAACTTTGTTGCCGTGTTGACGATTACAACGCCAACGGTCAGCGTATTAACACTCGGAATGATCGCGGTGAACCGTTATACATTGATTACCAAAACTAAGAAAACTTATCAACAGATCTATCGGTTACCGATCATAGCGACTTTTGTCACAGCGACGTGGATGTTCCCAATTTTAACGATCGTCATTCCTCAGTTGACAAACCTTGGGGACCTGGGGTATGATTATTTTTATAAAATCTGTAAATGGGATGTTGATCAATCGAAGATACCTATCTTTCAGACGATATCATCCGTTACATTCTTAGTTTCAACTGGAGTTATCGTTTTCTGCTACGTGTCTATCTATCTCTACGTTCGGAAGCATATCACTGAAATGAAAGCTAAGCGTAAGAGCCAGATGATATCTCTGCAGAGCATCAACATTGAAGAAAACAATGCCGCATCTCCAAGGCAACGCTCTCCAACAAAGAGCAACATCAACGGAACACCCTCTCTCAGGCAGGTCAAGATAACCAAGAACCTCTGTTACGTGGTGATCATATTCTTCGTCTGCGTGGTCCCGTACTCCGTGCTTCTTCTCTTTCGGGTTCGCCATCTTGCCGTGGCGTATTTTGCGGTGTTGTTTGTGCTATCAAGTAACATTAATCCTATCCTCTATGCTGCTAAGCATCCTGATTTCAGGTTGGTCTTTACTGCCATGCTGCATTGTAGATACCTTGACATCGTAAGCCCATCGGGGTGTCTCCGGACGATCATAGAGAGGACTGGTGCCACACCAAACAATAAAAGCACCTCAGAGTCATAGTGATCGATGATTAGTTAGAAGAAATTAATTGAAAAAATGTATTACCTGGTATGTGGATTGCATGATCATAACAATTGTCCATTCAAAATGAAAACTGTTTCCTAATAGAGTACTGTTAAACAGGGTGAATAGGAACTACCTGAGTGGAAAAAGGAAGTTTTCTTCCATGATGATTTCTAATTATGAAGCAGATCCTTTACAAAGTTTTACTGTTTATATATATATGAAGAAAGGAAATGGAAAGGATCTACATTATTTCTGAAGATTCCTGGAGAAAATTATGTCATGCACTTTTCAAATACTTGTTCTTTTTCGAATCGATCACCCTTGTGTTTCTATTTACCGTACCACATCTTATGGTACAATAAAGTTTCTTTGATTTTAATTGTGAAAGTACACACCACATTTAGATTCATATATTCATATTCAATTTTCTTCTTTGACACAGGAAGGAGCAAATCTTTTCTTTCCTCCACAACAATTTTGATACCTCATAAGGAAACGTAACAAAAATATACTACCAAACTATTTCTTAATGTTACTTTGCATATATCCCTGGAGACTGGTTAGTCTCTACTGTGTACTTCCCATCGACCTAGATCAGATTTAATAATACCATGGAGCACTTTGGAGTGAAATGTAGCATGAACCCATACTCCAATGTCATCAGGCCAACCCAGCTACGGGGAATCAAATATTTACCCACAAATCATAAACCATTCAACTTCAAGAGTGAATGCAAATAAGAAATATCACTAGGATAATAAATGCATAAACAAAAGATGATAATCTGTTTGATTTTTAAATAATATGACACAATGATATCTTACACATTTGAGGCATATCACACTTTATGTTGCATATATTTAGCATTTAAAAAAATCTTGTTTGTTTGGTTCAAAGGTTAATTATTTTCCCCCTTGGAGTGTTATTTGCATTGTCTTTTCTGAAATTGAAAGATAATAAAAAATAATTTATATCTATTCTGTTGATCCATGAGTCATCTATTTGCATAAAGTAACATTTTTGATTGAGAACACAAAGTGCATTAAAGGTACTATGTCCCTTTTGCAGCCAACCTCAAATGCTGTAGAACTTTGCAGGAATTATGAACATGTCATGTATGTCCTATCTGTGAAATTTAAACGTTAGCAGTGTCCTCATATTCAAATTATGCAAGGAAACACGTTTACTTGCTAGACTTCACTGTCAGACACTATTGAGTGACTGACTGGCTTTTTTTCTTCTTTGGTAATACATACATGAAAAGAGTTGTAAAGGGTACATGATCATTTGTCTACATTAATAACCCACTTCTTGTGATGGCCAAGAATTAAACTGATTGAATCTTTGCGCAGAATAAAACGTATGACCATTCGGTACAATGTCTGAAAATCAAGACTATTACTTTTGGGCTCTATAGCCCTAAAGTCGATTTGACAACTAATAGTCGTTATTTTCCCACTTGAAGACATTTTCAAGCCCCACCTTTTTTAGGGAAGTTCTAAATTAGTATTATCTTTCAAATGCAGTTGGAATTTAACTTTTTCATTTTTTGGCCTGCAAATGGGACATAGTACCTTTAAACAGTAAACCCTCAAAATATGATTGGTGTGATATTAAAATTTAAAAATGGGAGAGATGAGAAAGAGAAGAATAGAGTGAACCCGAGAACTAGTAGACAGAAATGAAGAGAGGAAGGGAGGTATAGAAAAAGGAAAGAAAGAGAGAGAGAGAGAGAGAGAGAGAGAGAGAGAGAGAGAGGGAGAGAGAGACTGACAAGGAGGATGAGAGAGAGAGAGAGAGAGGTGGGGGAAGAAGGAAAGGGAGAGAGATTTGCAGAGAACGATAGATGAGGGAGAGAGATTGGCAGAGATTGGTAGATGAGAGAGAGGGAGATAGAGAGAGAGAGAGAGAGAGAGAGAGAGAGAGAGAAAGAGAAAGAGAAAAAGGAGGGGTTAAACAGAGAGAGCACTACAAAAATACTAAGAAGCACAGAGTAAATATCAATTACCAGTAAATATACTGAAAAAGGATCCACCAACCTATATATCAACTGCAAGTCAGGTTGAATACCTAGATGTAATAATTCAACGGAAGCATTAACCCAATGAATCAAGACACTGTTGAGACAAGATGTCATTTATTGGTGTATCAGATTGAAATGTTTGTGTGGTCATGATCAACTATTACGATCATAAAACTTCTCTTAGATGTTTAACTGTCATCTAGGTGCCATTAGGGCATTGCTCCCCCACGCAGACCCATCTGACTTCATGCACTCGGATTGCTATCGTTATAAGCAATCTGATATATTTGTGGGCAATTGATATTGTTAACTCCACTGAACAAAATTGTAAATGAACAGAAACAGATGATTTGCAAAATGCTTTTAAAACAGATGAACATCTCATGAAAGAATGTGAAAAATCTCTAAAGTTTGTCAAACTACCAACAAGGAACAAAAGAAAGAAATACAATATTGAAAAGAAACTCATGAAAGAGATTTTCACTTTTTCTTCCATTGATTTAAATAGCAATCCAGTTTTCTATCCACAAAGTCAGAAAGACTTTTTTTAAAAGCCTCCCAAGGCAATTTCGATAGCCATATCCATCATCTTTTGAATGAACGAACACGGCATTGACATATTATGCAATCCAAACATGACTTCTACAGGCAACACAATATGGTATTGTTATAATTGCCCTTGAGTTGAATTCGTGAAAGTCTTTACAATCATACTCTCCTCTCAGTATTCCTATGACTGAAAGATATAGGGGATAAGTATATTACCAGCTGGAGGAAAGCACTTTGCACAGAGGCAAAAACAAAGTGCAATTACCATTGATTCAAGATCAATATTGTGATGGGAAACTGGATGAGGAGATGAGAGGGTCTATATTGATTCCCAAATGCTACATGCTATCATATTTCTTCTATTAGAATAGCTAGCTTTCCTATGGGGGAGGGGAGGGGGGGGGGGAGGATGAGGTCAAGTGAGTGAGCGAACAATTCAAACAGAAATACCTATCTGCTAAACAGAATTATTAAAACATCCTGACAGAAATCTCTGAATCTCAATTATGGGGTTGCATCTTCCCTCTCTGCCTCCTGTTCCCCTTCACATTGCACTGCAGCTTCCAAATCACATATATGTACAGTGCATTCTATTTTTAAAAGTATGTATTTCACTTCATGTCTGGTTCATAAATTCATTATAATGTTCAGAACAATTTGAACTTCCGCAGAAAGAAAGAAAAAAATTGAAGAGTACCTAAACAGACCTCAAAATAAGACTTGACATAGAAGATATTACCCCTTTGGAATTTTTCTTCTTCTTAATTCAACGCACATTTTTAATGGGCAAAGTGAGTTACCAGTAAAGTATAAGGAATTTAAGCCATCTCTTATTAGCCTTGATTATAGATGTTTTCTCTAAATTCATATTAAAAAAAATAAATTAAAAAAAAACAAAAAGAATCACAAAAACACCCCCCAAAATCACTTAATTTGACAAAATCAATGGAGCCCAGCGAAATGGTCATAAAAGGTTATATTTGCACATGCTCCAGCAATATTTTTTAGCAATAATTTCAATCTTAAACTTTGAAACAAAGATTACATCTAACCCTATAACCTAGCATAAAACCTAATCTGAACCCAACTGCAAGCCCATCCCCAGCCTTATATTTAGGACAAAATATAGCCCAAAGCAAATGTTACAGGAGCTATTAAATGTCAGGGCAGTGTTTCACGAAGCCGTCATCGGCGTCAAGTATAAAAGTGTTCACATCCTTTTCTAATGTGTTTATTAAAATGAACGCCTGTCTCAATGGGATGATGGTGGACTTGTACTGGTGAAGGTTAATTGAAAGGATGCCCACATCATCATCAAAGAAAATATTTAACTGGGTCCTGATCAATCATCGGATGGACATCTACTGTGATCATCAAGAAATGGGATTCTGATGATCAGTGCCATTAAGTTAATCCATGGTATGCCATGCAAAAGGTCAGCCTTGATCTACAGATGAATGATTGTACCCAAACTTGGGGGTACAACGGGTTAATAATTGCTCTAATTGGCAGATAATGATTAGGTATTAACACAGAGAGTAGTACTGATTGATCAATGGATGCATGCATGGACTGGTGCAGTTAGCATTTCATTCAAATTTGTTCATATCATATAATATGTAGGGTATGGTGGAAAACTGAATTGCCATCATGACAGGATGAAAAATTAGCAGATCAGGACAGAGTACTGAGAAAAAGAAATTAACACATATATTAAAGATATACAGTAAATTTTAAAAGAGAGAGAGATAGAGAGAGAGGCAGAGAGGAGAGAGAGAGAGAGAGAAACGAGAGAGGGAGAAAGAGAGATAGAGAGGGAGAGAGAGGAGAGAGAGGAAGAGAGAGAGGAAGAGAGAGGGGGAGAGAGAGAGAGAGAGAGAAGGGGAGAGAGAGGGAGGGAGAGAGAGAGAGAGAGAGAGAGAGAGAGAGAGAGAGAGAGAGAGAGAGAAGGGGCGTTGGCAAAGTTCAAGCTATCAACAAAATAAAATGAAAAATGAAATAAAATTCAGAACAGGATAAATCAAGCGTTTGGAACATATATTATTCATACATCGTCATTTTAACCCAACCCCCCCCCCCCAAAAAAAAATGAATGAAAATAAAAACATTAATCAAATTTGTCAGCTTATTATATATATTAACAAAAACACCAGGGAACATATACATCACTATATAAAACCAATAATGAACTTGAGGAAAGAGTTACCTGCTCAAGAACCATGAAATATTTGACCAATGAGGGGGTACTTCAACATACAGACCAGTCATCATTCACTCCACATATACATGCTTTGTGAGAACACCGTGATATTGGTGTATTCATTTGACTTCGTCTTCTTCTCAATCAAATGAATGAGGGTTTGGATTTATATACTAAACCTTCAGATTGACAAATACTTGAATAGTAAGGTATATAGTTTTCACAGAATCCTCTGGTTTATATCAGTCATCAATTGTGACCCTTTGGAATAGTGACTCATGACTACCCCCCCCCCCATATGCCCCTGATATCAATTTATGTTATAAAAAATGATTTACTTATAGCTAGAGAGTTCCAACTCAATTTTTTTTTATGGTTTTACGATCCCAGACACTCTTTCGTGTTTCCTCAAACATCAATGATTAAAATCTACCATCTATACTCTGTCTACTGACAGACAGAAGGGCTATAGTTCAATATGTATCAGTATATAAATTATATGCCTTCTTGCTCTTAGCTATTGCATATGACTCCTTGAGGCATACTAACCTGTACATTAATGGTCCAGAATATCTTGAACAAAACTCAACAAAACGGAAATGCCACTTTTGTCATTGTAGTTGGGAGGGGGTGGGGCAGGATAATTACAGTTCTAGACGTGTTTTTTTTCTTCTTCTGGAATCTAGATGTGTTTTGTGTTTTCTAGAATCTAGATGTCTTCAATTGTATGACTATGAGTAGAATTGCTGTATTTTGATTCTATTGTAAGTTCACTTTTCATTTAATTTTCTAGAACCGCACGAAAAACAGTTGTGTTATGTTAACAAAGCTGAATGGGCTATGTGTACTTTTCTATTTTGTTTGTATTGTTTTGGAAAATTAATGCCATACCATACCTTTTGAAGCTTGCTTGAAACATATTCTTCATTTTCATTTTCAAATGGTCAGATCAAGTGGTGAACATGATCCCACCTATCAAAGGGGGGCGCTGGAGTGATGGGAGGGAGGGGAGGGGGGGGGGGGGGTACCAGTCTTATTTGAAAAAATGAAACATGACTTTACAAGGCTATAAGACTTAAGGGTAAGGTATGGGAGATGGTGCAAGTGTTTTTCTCAGTTGTCCTCCTTATCCCTTCACCTGTCTCTCTCTTCTCTCCTTTTCTTTCTTTTTATTTGTTTACCCCTTGATTGGGGGGGGGGGGGGAG